GGTGGGAGGCCGGCTTGAGCCAAGGAGTTCAAGACCAGCCAGGGCAACATGGTGAGACCCTGTCTCTACTAAAAGTAAAAAAGCTCATCATCACTGGTCATTAGAGAAATGCAAATCAAAACTACAACAGGATACCATCTCACGCCAGTTAAAATGGCAATCATTAAAAAGTCAGGAAACGGCAGATGCTTGAGAGGATGTAAAGAAATAGGAATGCTTTTACACTGTTGGTGGGAATGTTCAACCATTGTGGAAGACAGTGTGGTGATTTCTCAAGGATCTAGAACCAGAAATACAATTTCACCCAGCAATCTCATTACTGGGTACATACCCAAAGGATTATAAATCATTCTACTAGAAAGACACATGCACATGTATGTTTATTGCAGTACTGTTCACAATAGCAAAGACTTGAAACCAACCCAAATGCCCATCAATGATAGACTGGATAAAGAAAATCTGGCACATATATACCCTGGAATACTATGCAGCCTTAAAAAGGATGAGTTCATATCCTTTGCAGGGACTTGGATGAAGCTGGAAATCATCATTCTCAGCAAACTAAAACAAGAACAGAAAACCAAACACCACATGTTCCCATCATAAGTGGGAGTTGAACAATGAGAACACATGGACACAGGGAGGGGAACATCACATACTGGTGCCTGTCAGGGGGTGGGAGGCTAGGGGAGAGACAGCATTAGGAAAAATACCTAATGTAGATGACAGATTGATGGGTGCAGCAAGCCACCATGGCACGTGTATACCTATGTAACAAACCTGCATCTTCTGCACATATATCCCAGAATTTAAAGTATTAAAAAAAAAAAAAAAAAGTTGAACAAAAATAGCTGGGCACAGTGGCATGTGCCTGTGTCCCAGCTACTTGGGAGCCTGAAGTGGGAGGACTGCATGAGCCAGGGAGGTCGAGGTGGCCGTGAGCTGTGATCGCACCACTATACTACAGCCTGGGTGACAGTGCGAGACTCAAAAAAAAAAAGTACAAAACTGACATTAATGGATGTACTTAGAATTTTGAAGCTGTTACTAAATCTTTAAGAAATGTAGGGATAGTGCTAAACTCTACATGAGATACCATGCTAAGCCTTCCCATCATGTTTTTACAATCATTTGTAAGAGTGCAATTAATCTGACAGGTGAGCTAGTAGTTTTGAGGCAGGATTTATGACCAGAATAAAAAGGTGCTTAACAAAAATGTAAAAAACTGATAGGAAAATTGTTGAGAGTCTTACAAAAAGGAGAGCAAAAGTCTGTATCTAATATGGAAGACAGAGCCTTTGCTGAGGGTCGGTAGTAAGCCTTAAGAATTAATAAACTTTTTCAGTTCCTATACTTCTTTTTTTTGAGATGGAGTTTCGCTCTTGTTACCCAGGCTGGAGTGCAATGGCGCGATCTCGGCTCACCACAACCTCCGCATCCCAGGTTCAGGCAATTCTCCTGCCTCAGCCTCCTCAGTAGCTGGGATTACAGGCACATGCCACCATGCCCAGCTAATTTTTTTGTATTTTTAGTAGAGACGGGGTTTCACCATGTTGACCAGGATGGTCTCGATCTCTCAACCTCATGATCCACCCGCCTCGGCCTCCCAAAGTGCTGGGATTACAGGCTTGAGCCACCGCGCCTGGCCCCTATACTTCTATGTTAGGATAAATGTTTTAAAAAAAAAAAAAAAAAAAAGGCTCCAATTACACTTTTTCATCCTGAATATATAATGCAAAGGGCAGACTGCATGTTATTTTGAAAGAATGAGCAGGTACAAAAGTACCTCCTACACAGGGAGATGCCCCATACCTCAATAATGGGGCATCTTCATTCAGAGAAAAGCTGTCCTCTTTAAAACAGGAAGCAAAGCTGAAGAGGGAATCCAAAATCCTGGCTCTAGTCCTAGCTCAGAGCTCAGACACCAACTAGCTGTGAAAGTCAGGTAAGTCCCTTTTTCCTTTGGGCTTCCATTTCTACTAATTTCTAGAAAAGTTATACTGTTACTCTGAAAGATTGTTCTCATGTTTTTGTTACCAACGTTCTTACTAAATGCATTGCACATGCTGAATAGCATCGTCACCACATGCAATGCATTTACTTAAAAAAAGACTCCCGTACATATGTCAGTAAAGCACTGGAATAAGCTTTTAGCTTGTCAATGTGGATATTGAGCAACTAAAATAATTATTTTTAAATAAGTTTCATACATATATATTTGGAACATAATATACAATAAATGTTTGTTGAATAAATGAATAAATCCATCCATTTCTCCATCTACCTCCCAGGTAAAAAAATGATGAGGTTTACTTAGGCTAAATTAGGCATGGAGTTGTTACCATGACTAAAGCCACTCCATGTGCAAGAGGAACATCGGGCTACAAATTCAGAGATGTGAGTTCTAGTCCGAGCTCTGTTATTAACATTCTTCTAATACTTAATTTGCATGGCCTCAGTTTGCCCATTTATGAAAATGCAGACACTAAAATCTTCCCTCCATAGGTAAGGACAGATAAAATGATATGGGAAAGACAGAACTTTGAAAAAAAATCAAAGTACTTTATAAATAAAAGATATCAGCTTGTGATCTCATATCCACAAAGAAGCTGAATTAAGGAGTATGAAGAAAAAGATTGTGAGAAGAAACGAAAACTATCAGAGGACTATATCCTCTACTTCATCAGGTTTTCTGCCTGGGGCTAAGAACTGTCCCTTAGAATGAAACAGATGATCATAGTCACTCGTAAGCAAACTCCCATGGCACTTGACCATGCTGACTTACTATTTTTTTATTTTCTTCATTTTCTTTTCTAAAACTTTATACTATATATATCTTTGATAACATAACAGTTTATTAAAATATTATTTATTTATTTACTTATTTATTTTGAGACAGGGTCTCACTCTGTGATCCAGGTTGGAATGTAGTGGCATGATAGTGGCTCACCACAGCTTCAACCTCCTGGGTTCAAGCAATCTTCCCACCTCTGCCTCTCTAGTAGCTGGAACTACAGGCAAGTGCCACCATGCTCAGTTAATTTTTGTATTTTTTGTAGAGACAGGGTTTTGCTGTGTTGCCCAGTCTGGTCTCAGACTCCTGGGCTCAGGGGATCCACCCACCTCAGCCTCCCAAAGTGCTGGGATTACAGGCATGAGCCACCGCATCCCACAGATATAATTTACATACCACAAAATTTACTCCTTTTAAGTGCACAACTTGGTGGTTATTAGTATATTCACAGAGTTGAGAACTGTCTCTAATTTCAGAACATCTGCATCACTCCTAAATGAAACTACCAATTAGCAGTCACTTCCCATTCGACACCCCTCAGTTCCTCCATACTCTGGCAACTAGTAACCTACTTTGTGGCTCTATAAATTTGCTTATTCTGGACATTTCATACAAATGGAATCACACCATATGTGGTCTTTTGTTACTGGTTTCTCCTAGTATAAATACTTGACACTAACAAAGTTCTCACCCCAAAATTATTCCTCAGAAAAAAGGAGACAAGTTCCTTTGGATACCTTACAAAGCCTTTCATAAGAAGGGACATTCTATTACTTTATTTTGAATAAGACTTGTATAAGGCGGCCGGGCGCGGTGGCTCAAGCCTGTAATCCCAGCACTTTGGGAGGCCGAGGCGGGTGGATCACGAGGTCGAGAGATCGAGACCATCCTGGTCAACGTGGTGAAACCCCGTCTCTACTAAAAATACAAAAAAAAAAAAACTAGCTGGGCGTGGTGGCGCGTGCCTGTAATCCCAGCTACTTAGGAAGCTGAGGCAGGAGAATTGCCTGAGCCCAGGAGGCGGAGGTTGCGGTGAGCCGAGATTGCGCCATTGCACTCCAGCCTGGGTAACAAGAGCGAAACTCCGTCTCAAAAAAAAAAAAAAAAAAAAAAAGACTTGTATAAGGCAATATTCAGAACCTCTGACTAGAACCTAATCAATTATAATTCTATATGATTATAAAAAGTCTTGCTTTTCCCATTGTTAAATAAAAGTTTGAATGCAAATATCTTTTGAAATATAAATGTGGAAGGGCCGGGCGCGGTGGCTCACGCCTGTAATCCCAGCACTTTGGGAGGCCGAGGCGGGTGGATCACGAGGTCAAGAGATCGAGACCAGCCTGGTTAACATGGTGAAACCCTGTCTCTACTAAAAATACAAAAAATTAGCTGGGCATGGTGGCGTGTGCCTGTAATCCCAGCTACTCAGGAGGCTGAGGCAGGAGAATTGCCTGAACCCGGGAGGCAGAGGTTGCGGTGAGCTGAGATGGCGCCATTGCACTCCAGCCTGGGTAACAAGAGCGAAACTCCATCTCAAAAAAAAAAAAAAAGCAGTTGAAATCCAATTCTTAGCAAATGTCTCAAAAGAAAACTGAACTTTGTAAGTAAATATCATAGAAAAATTGAATGAGGTAATTTTAGTTTAGAAAAATACTGTTCGGGAATGAAGTGATCTTAAGGGCTATTGTCAACCCCCTCACTTAACTTACGAAATAAGGCTGAAAGAGGCTAACTGACTTACCCAAGATCATATTGCATGAGGGCTTACCATGCTAAGTGCTATTTATGAATGATTTCTTAGTTTCCCACAACAACTCTATTCATTTCACTACTTTACAGCTGAGGTTTAGAGAAGTTAAATGACTTGCTCAGTTACTCAGCTAATATGTGGCAGAGGTGGGATTCAAGTCAGATCTCTCTAGCTTCAGAACCAGGGGGCTTAACTGTGTTGCAATACAAGTCTTCAGCTTCTCATCAGAGAACGCTGCCCAGAATCACATGGTTTAAAAAAATCATTTAGTCAGGTTTGAAATTTCTAAACTAATTTAATTGGAATAGAAGAAAACATCGTTAGAAATTAGCAAAAACATTAGCAAAATAAGAGAAAAAGATATGGGTGAGATACCAGGTCTGGTATTATTTTGAAGTTTATAGAAACATCTAAAAATAAAAAAGTCATGGGTTATTCAAAGCAAGTCAGTTTTACCTGGTTAATTCTCTTAGTCGAGTCACCTCAGCATCACGCTGACGTAATGTTATCCCCAATATCCGGTTTTCCTTTTCAGCAGTTTCTAACTTAAACTGGGAGTTTTTCACATTGACTAGGGCTTCCTCCAATTCTAAAACAACAAAAGTTTCAGTTTCCTTATTCCTTTAAAAAAATGTGACCCTAACTACTGTCTAAATACGTACCAATTTTCATTCTTGTTATCTCAATGTCATATTGCTGTTTATTTTCAAGTATAGTTTGATCTTTGTCTTTAAATATGCTAGTAAATTTTTTGTTTTCATCTCTCTGATTTTCAATCACTTTTAAGAGCTCTTCATTTTTACTCTGCAGTAATTCCTGGCTCTTTAGTGACTCCTCCAATTGATTTTGCAGTGACATATTCAATGACTGAAGAGAAAACACTGTAAGACAAAATGGATCAAATAGTTGTTTCCCACACCTAAAAAGTACAAACTTGGAAAACACCTGTTTCTAAAAAAAAAAAAAAAAAGCCTGAAATGTATTGATTTTGCTTAACAAATAATTGCATGAGTAGTTCTAAGCAGTTCTATATAAATAATACATATAATTTTAAAAATTGATTGGCAGAATTCATAGCTTTCTTTTCCAATTAACATTTTAAGCCTAATTTTTAACCCTTTTAAAAGAAAGAATAATACATGTACAAAGTTAAAAAAAATTCAACCACCACAAAATGTGAATAATACCATTATGATCCCAATGAAGAATCTCCCTCTCACTCCTCTCAGTCCCCAGAGAAAATCACTATTAATTCTGGTATCTTTCAGGAAAACACTTTTGCATGTGATATTACACACACTCCACACACACATGCACACACCCACAGACACTATACAGTTTCTAACTTTGCCTTTTTTCCCCATAAGACTGTTGCATACAAAGACATAGATCTATCGTGTTCTATTTTTATGGCTATAAAAGTAAACGGCACCATTTATTTAGCAAATACATCCTCAGTGAATACTTACTATATGTGCGATATTGTATTAGAGTCGGAATATACAGAGATCAATAACACAGACACGGCCCCTGTTCTCACAGAGCTGACAACAAACAAGTAATTATAAATTGTAATGATGTCAAAGAAACAATAAGATAAATGAACAGATAATATAAAGAACAGAAGCTATTAAAAGTGGCAACTACTGATCTCCCCACTTTGTCCTCTAGGCCTACTCTCTCCCTCTCCTCACCTTTGGTTAACAATGGACCCAGAGTGATAATTTCTGAATCATTCTGATAAAACTGAACACTTTTATGTTGGGTAATCATATTTTTTTATATTGCTTTATAAGCTATATTTATATATTAAGAAGATTAAGCCTTTGTCATGCCATGTATTGTTTCCCCATTTTGTTTATGTGTTCTGAATGTATTTATAATGTTGCTATGTAGAAATTGAAAAAGTTTTCTGGGGACATATTTTATCAATCTATTCTTCTGTGGCATCTGAGTCTTTTTCAGGCTTAAGAAAAGCTCCCCCCACAAAAAAATTCTCATCTTTTTTTCTGGTACTATTATAATTTCTTTCTTTATTAAACTCAGTGATCATTAAGGACAATTAGGTAATGTCTGTCACAACTGCAACTATATACACCCTTTGGCTTGGCAATTCTACTAAAAATCTAAACTACAAAAATCCTGGCTAGGTGGGGTGCCTTCTGTCTGTAATCCCAGCACTTTGGTGGGGCCAAGGTAAGTGGATCACTTGAGGTCAGGAGTTCAAGACCAGCCTGGCCAACATGGTGAAACGCTGTCTCTAACAAAAATACAAAAATTAGGCAGGCATGGTGGCAGGTGCCTATAATCCCAGCTACTTGAGAGGCTGAGGGAAGAGAACCACTTGAACCTGGGTGACAGAGGTTGCAGTGAGCCAAGATCTCACCACTACACTCCAGCCTGGGCCACAGAGTGAGACTCCATCTCAAACTCCACCCCACCCCCAAAACAAAACAAAACAAAAAGCTAACATGTATACACAAAGACATATACAAAGATTTTCACTTAAGCATTGTTTGCACTGGGGAAAAAGGGAAAAGTACTACTAGCAGAGGACCATCTTATGGTAGACCTGGATAAGCAGAATACCCAAGTAAATCTTAAAGAGAAAGATGTATGATTACATATTTTGATAGACAAAATTGTCCACTACATATTAAATAAATAAACAGAAGCTGTGTAAAGTATATACAGTGTGATCTCTTTTCTAAAAAAGTACATATATAATTCTATTTGTGCCTGGCACACACTAGGTATTCAGTAAGTATTTGTGAAATAAATCAATTATATATGAAGAGAAGACACATAAAAGAAAACACGCTCCTGTTTTTTTTTGTTGTTGTTGTTGTTTTTGAAAATAGGTGTATGTTATTGGAAAGTGATAGCATCTTTTATTTTCCTATGTTTCTGCAATATTTAAATTTGTCCTCTCAAAGTAATTATGAAAGCTCAATTCATTATCAACATTTCCAAAGCCACAAATAATTTGTTAATCCTTAAAAGTTCTTATACCTACATTCAAGGTTGCAATCCGCAGCACCAGATGGCTTATGAGTTTTCTCTTGTTCACTGAGTTGCTGGTTCAAAATTCTCAACTGCCTAAAGAAATAATGAAGAACTATGAATCCAAGAATCCTAGGCCAATTTAATATTATACGTTACACAGCCTATCAAAAAAAATAAAAGATAAACCCACTTAGACAGCAGAAGTTCATTCATCCCCAAAACAAATGACAAAAACTAAAATAATAATAATAATAAAACAAAACTGAAGAGAAAACACTGTAAGACAACATGAATAAAATAGTTGTTTCCCAAACCTAAAAAGTACAAACTTGGAAAACACCTGTTTCTAAAAAAAAAAAAAAAAAAAAAAAGGCCTGAAATGTATTGATTTTGCTTAATAATTAATTGGAAAATAATACTATTATTTTTATAAGGCCTGAGATAATTTTTAAGGTTGCCTGAAACTATTATTATTATAATGCCCGAGATAATTTTTAAGGCTGCCTGAAACATTAAAACCTCCCCTCATGAGGAAAACATTAATTTCTCCATTTTGTCTCTTTTCAGTGATTTGGGTTTTTTTTTCTATTTCTTTCCTTTCCTATCTCCTCTTGCTGTTTCTCATCTTCTTTCTGTGTATCTTCATCACTGTAGTTAATCATCTACTTTTTAAAAGATTTGTCATTACCTATAGGCACTGACTGCTATCAGACATCTGCCTGCCTGATGTTTATCATATGCTGAAACCCAAATCTATGCTTCTAATTATTTCTTTATTAGATGGAAAAGTTAATGGTCTTAAGTAACAAGAATATTAACAGGCTACAAGTCTGCCCTGTTACAATGAACTTCACAATATGGATTTGCTTCACAAATAGAAACATACAAAAGTGTTTTCTTTACTCCTAAGAAGTTATCACTTAAGGGGAAAAAAAAGTTACCTCTATTACCTTTCCAGAGTTACTTATCTAAAAATATTAAAATATTTATTTTTGGTACTGAATCTAAAATGATAGTACCCTACCTCGCATCATTCGCATTTATTAATTTTGAGTTGACTAAAGTGGTAAAATATGCAAACAAAACGCAACTATACAAGTTTTAGGGGGAAATCCACATAATCTTGAAGGAGGGAAGGCATTCCTAAGTGAAACTTAATATCCAGCAAGCATCAAGGAAAAGAAGGAAAGATTTAACCACATCAAAATTTGAAACTTGTTGTAGAAGTAAAAGCCTGAAAGAAAACATCTGCACATGTATTACAGACAAGGGGTCCACAACATTTAAAGAACAACTACAAATAGGTAAAAAAGGCAATCTAGTAAAAACTGACAAAGGATAAGAATGAGCAGTTCACATAAGAAATGGAATGGCAATAACAGAAACATCATGAGTTTGGGTGGAAGTCAAAGATTTTTGGGATACAATTTCAGTTCTGACATTTTCTGGTGTGGAATCTTGGGCAAGTTACTAAGCTTCTGATTCTGTTATGGGTGCAAAACTTGCACTTCTAGCTCCCAAGGCTGCTGTGAGGTATCAGATTCCACCATCAATACTCCTGGTATGCAGAAGGGGTTCAATAATTGCTAGCTTCCTCTCACCCCTCCTTTATCATTTTAGTAGCAGTGCAGCTTGTTAATAGTCTTCCGTCCATAAATGTATTTTGACAAGATTGTGAAGCAAGATTACATATGGGAGAGAAAAGTAGATTTGACTTCTCTATAAATTTAATCTGGAACCAAAGAACCCACTCAGCTCTTTTAAGAAGACCTTCCTTTTTCCCTCCAAAAAGCAATTACACTCTAATGAGTGGTTTTAAGTAACTAGATCATTAACTGGATTTTCTAACTTGATTTCTTAGCAGATAGAGAAACAAAAAGACTGCTCTTTCAGAAACTCTAAGTGATTTCTTCCCAACCAGGAGCAAATAAAATTCATTATTTACTCAAGTCATCAAAAGTTTTGGTTAAAGGGCCATAAGATCAATAAATACACTGGCAAAAAAAAAAAAAAGAAAGAAAGAAAGAAAGAAAGAAATAGAAATGGACTGTAAGTATATAATAAAAACGCTCGTCTTCACTAACATGAAGAACTGCAAATTTCAAAGGAGATATATTTGGCCATAGGATTGATAAAAATAAACGGAAATAACACTTTCTAATGATAGTAGAGGGAAATGAATTATCTCAATTTGTGTGAGTATATCAGTATAACCATTCTGGATGGCAATTTGAAAATGTCTAACAAAATGTAAAATGCTCATAATCTCTGAAAAATTATTCTACTTCTAGGTTATCTAGCATCAGAAACAGTTTTACATGAACAAAAGCATCTCCCACCTTACAGATATATACAAGGTTGTTCACAACAGCAATTATTTAATAGTGAAAAGTTGGAAACAACTTAAAATGTTACATAAATTACGGTACATTCATATATGAAATACTAATACACAGATATTAAAATGAGCAAGAGGTCCATTTGTACTGAAAGGAAAAGATCTCAAAGACACACTACGAAGTGAAAGCTGTAAGCTGTAAAACAACAGTATAATATGAACTCGTCTTTGTTTTAATAAAATTCTGATTTTCTTCAAAGGTTTCCCCTTTACAACAGAAGCTTTCCTTGATCATCTTTTTCTGTGTCCCTGTTCAGAGTCTTCTCTTCCCAAATGTAACCAATCTAAACTAATAATTCACCACAAGCCTCTCATTCCTACCCTCCTCTTCTCAATTGTAAACTTTCTTTTTTTCACTAAAAATATCGTGGTTTGGGGACAATGGCATCCTTTGGTCCCAGGGCATATCCATATGTGTACTAACACTCATTTTTTCCAACTAGTCTGGGCGAGTAGCCTCATCCATGCCCTAGATCCCATTCTCCTCCTAGACCACCAAGGACTCTGCTCCTATCCGACTCCCTTTATTGTATATTATCTGCAGCTTCTCCCTCTTTACCACTTCATGTGCCCGAGCCAAGAAACATATTAAAACTCTTCCCATATTAAAAAAGAAAATCCCTCCAACGTAACTATATAACTAGCTACTTTCATTCCTCTCATTCCCTGCTTTCAGGGATAGGCTTAAAAAAATTGTTCTACTTAAAATGACACATGATAAAAATAGAAAAAAATGATATTTTATAAAATTGATGTTATACATGCTATCTTAAAATATTATGTACTAAATGTAAGTATACTGGAGTTTAAAAAGGTAAAGAACTGCTGCTATTTAGGCAAATATTTATTTTATTCAATTCATTCTTTTTTTTTAGATAGTTTGAGATAAAACTGATATACTATAAACTGCATACATTTAAAGTGTATCATGTTATGTTTTGCCATATGATGTGGTAAAACCACCATTACAATGAAGATGTTCATCAGCAGCCATAAAAAACAGTGAGATCATGTTTATTTTGCAAGAACATGAATGGAACTAGAGGCTAACATCCTTAGCAAACTAATGCAGAAACAAAAGCAAATACCACATTCTCACTTATAAGTGGGAGCTAAATAAGAACTTATGAACACAAAGAAGGGAACAACAGACACTGGGGTCTGGGTGGACAGAGGGAGGGGAGGGTGGGAGGAGGGAGAGGAGCAGAAAAGATAACTATTGGATACTGGGCTTAATACCTCAGTGATATAATAGTATGTACAACAAACCTCCTGTGACACAAGTTTACCTATGTAACAAACCTTCACATGTACTCCCAAACCTGTATTTTTTAAAAAAGATATTCATCATCCCCAGACAAGTACTTATTTATAGTTTGCATATTCTAGAATTACATATGAATGGAATCATGGAATATATACTCTTTTAGCCTGGCTTCTTTCACTCAACATAACAATTTTGGGATGCATCCAACTGTTGCATGTATCAATATTTCCTATCCTCTTATTGTTTAGTAGCATTCTATTGCATGGCTATACCACTATTTGTTTAACCATTCACCTATTGATAGACATTTGGGTTATTTCCTATGAACACTCATCAACAAATTTTTGTGTGGATCTATGCTTTGACTTCTCTTACATAATACTTAGGAGTGGACTGGTTAGATCACATGTTAGGTATATGAATAATTTCCAAGAATCTGCCAAACTATTGTCCAAAGGGTCCAAATTATTTTACATCCTCACCAGCTAATTGTAAAGTTCCCATTCCTTCACCTCCTAACATTTATTAATTAATTTTGAATTTTAGCCATTCTAATGGGTATGCAGTGGTATTTCATCATGGTTTTAATTTTCACTTTCCTAATCATTACTGATGGTAAGCATCTTTCCATGTTCTTATTTGATATTCATATTTGATATCCACTTATCTTATTTGGTGGTCTGTTCAAATATTTTACCCATTTTTAAACTTGATATTTAAAAATTTATAGTCTTATTTATACATTCTAGATACACATCCTTTATCAAATACATGTTTCGCAAATATTTCCTCACAATCTGTTGGTTACTTCTTCATTGTAACACTTTAACCTGTTATTTTTAATTACAGGTGTTTTTTGTTCTTCAAACAAGCATTTTTAATAACAGGTTTTTTGTTCTTCAAACAAAAGTTTTAAATTTTGATGAAGTTCACTTTATTTTTTTCTAGTTTATATTTTTTTTGTTGTATTTTAAAAATCTTTCCCAATCCAAAATCCCTAAGATTTTCTCCTATATTTTCTTTTACAGGTTTTGTAGTTTTAGTTTATAAATTAAAATCTGTGATTCATTTTTCAAGACAATTTTTGTGTACCATATGAGGTAAAGGTTGAGGTTCATCTTTCAAAAATATGACTCTCCCCTTCTTTCAGCACTATTTATTGAAAAGAGTATTCTTTCGCCATTGAATTTTTCTGGTATCTTTGCAAAACGTGATCTCTATTTGTGAATTTGTTTCTACACTTTATTCTGTTTCAATGATCTATTTGTCTATCCTTACACCATATGTCTTAGAATGCTATCCCTTTATGTTTTGAAATTGGATAGTACCAACTTGGTTCTCCTTTCTCAATACTGTCTTGGGTATTTTAGATTCTTCGAATTCCCATGGAAATTTTAGAATCAGCTTGTATTAAACATTAAAAAAGCATGCTTGGGTTTTTACTTTAATTACATAAAATCTATATATGAATTTTGGGAGTAGTCTTAAGTCTTACATTTATGGATCTGGGTTATCCCTCAATTATATTGATCTCTCAGCAATATTTTGTAGTTCTCAGTGTATGGATCTTACATATTTTTCAAATTTATCCCTAAATTGTTCATATTTTTTGATGCTACTCTGAATAGTACACATTTGAAATTTCATTTCAAATTGTTCATTGCTGGCACATAAAAATACAATTGATCTTGTATCCTGCAACCATGCTAAGCCTTCTTATTAATTCTAGTAGCTTTTCTGACGATTCCACAGGATTTTCTACAAGGATTATCATGTCACCTGTGAACCAGACAGTTTTACTTATTTCCTTTCTAATGTAGCTGGCTTTTATTTCTTCTTCTTGCCTTACTGCACTTGCTAGAACCTCTAGCACAATGTTAAACAGACATAATCATTATCTGCTGGATAACATTCATACATTCTCCAGCATATACAGAGACAAAAACAAATACCTAAGAAGAATTTTTAAACAATAGGATGATAGTACAAATATTATGTATTGAATTTAGGATCACATGACTTTAATGGAAAGAAAATAACAAGCGAAACCAAAACTGATTAGCTTTAGGCAAATATTTCTTTACTTCAAGAAATACTCTTTCTAAATTATCTAAAATTTAGTAAATAGGATATGAAAAATGTAGAGTTTGGAATTCATATTGTCAAGATTACTAACACTTTCTGATTTATAACCATAATTTCCATAGCTGTCTTAATTTTACATATAGATTCCATGTTCACATCTGTCTACTCTTCTTTTTGAATTCATCTTTTGTTTGACTGGACTTTGCCAATCAAGTTTTTGTTTTGTTTTTTAAAGGAGTCCAAGAGTGTTAAACGTCTTAAGTTCTTGCATACTTGAGAATATGACTGTTGCCTTTATACTAAAAGGACAGCTATGCCACATTAGAGATTCTCAGGGCACACTTTCTTTCCCTCAGAACTTACTTTGTAAATGATACTCTATAATCCTTTGGCAATGAAAATCACCATGAAAAGGCTAGAGATAGGCTAAAATTTTTCTCTTCGTACATAACTTTCTATTTCTTTTGAGTGTCTCCAAAAATTAACTTTTTTCATCCTTAAGGTGTAGTAACTTTACCAGCATGTGTTGGTATTGATTGTTTTGCATCATTTTTCTGAGATCTTGTATGTCCTATTCATCTGCTGACATAGATCTTTTTTTTTTTTTCTTAGAGATAGGGTTTTGCTCTGTCTCCCAGGCTAAAGTGGTACAATCAGAATATTTTCCTTTTATTTATATATCTCTTAATATTGTCTTTAATTCAGTTGTTCTGTTCTCCTTTTTCAGGAACACCAACTTTGTATCTATTTTGTTTCTGTTCCATATGTATTACCTTCTTCATAATAACTTTTAGATCACTCTTTTTCTATTTTGCCTTGTGTGATTCCCTCAAGCTCATCTATCATGCATTCAGTCAACTTAACCAGTATTTATTAGAGTGAGTGTTAGGCACAATTCTAGCACTAGAAATAGAGCTGCAAACTCTAAAGAGACAGAATTTCAGCCTTCTCAAATTCAGAGACAGAAACAACAAAAGCAACAACTTACCAGGAGATAAGAAAAGGGAGAAGACAAAGTTACTGTTTAATGGGGACAGAATTCATGTTAGAGATGAGAAAGTTTTGCCACAGAAAGTGGTGAAGGTTACAGAACATTGTGAATTTATTTATTGCCACTGAAATGTACACTTGCAAAGGGTTAAAAAGATAAATATCATATATATTTTACCATAATAAAAATATACAAAAATTTTAAAAATGCTTTAGGAAGAAGAAGCAGCAGCTAAAGCCAGTAAGAGACACTGAACTATGAATTTAGTAGAAATTAAAATGGAAAGACTTGGGGGTAAAAACCTAAAATCAAAAAAAAAAAAAAAAAAAAAAAAACTTCAGGCTTCATAATACTTAAGTTCTAGAGGACTACAGTATCCTTAACTTTGTCTGTTTATTAATTATTTTATATTTGTTTTCTAATGGGGCTTTCATTTTTGAAATTTTTTCTTTTATTTTTCTGAGTTCACTCAACTCACTTTTCTTCTCTAGCTTCCTAGAGGGTGGGGCACCCACAGGGGTCATAGAAGCTCCATGCCCTTTCTCCAATACCTTGCCCTTTGCATCTCTTCATCTGTATCCTTTATAATAAAGTGGTAAACTAAGTGTTTCTGTGAGTTCTGTGAGCTGCTCTAGCAAATTAACTGAACTCAAGGAAGGCGATCAAGGGAACTTCGACTTATAGCCATTTGGTCAGACAAACAGGTAAAATAACCCAGGGCTTGTGATCGGCACTGGAAATAGAGCTTAGTCTTGTGGGACTGAGCCCTCAACCTGTGGGATCTGATATCATTTCCAGGTAAATAGTGTTGGAATTGAACTGGAGGACACCCAACTGGCATCTGCTGCAGAACTGATTGCTTGCTTGTTGGCGGGGAGAAATTGCCACACATGTGGTCATAGAAGTGTTCTGTGTTGATTGTTGTGGTGTGAGAGCAGAAGAAAAACAGTCTGTTTTTAATACATCTCAGACCTTTCTATTAGGCAGGGTCAGGTGCCTTGTTTCAGCCTATAAAATATAAGTGGTAGCAAAATGGTCACTTCTGGGTTGGGGTATGTGAGACTTCCCCATTACCATATCCACATTCTCTTTTTCCTGGACAACACATACTGAGACAGTGGCTTCATAAAATGGACGGAGTCTGGATCCTGAGTCACAGGATGAAAGAGCCACTGATGACCCATGTTAGTCTTGGCGTAAGGGAGAAATAAACTTGCTGTGCTATGCAAATGAAATTTAGAAGTTTGTTCCTGCAGCATAATTTAGACTAGTCTGATGAATATACAGAGGTACTTCATTCTCCTGCCTACACACTACCAAGTGACAACACAGGTAAAAGTGGGAGACAATATGTACAAGTGAGCAGAAGTAAAGAAAGAGTTAGAGAATGCTGGAAATCTCTGAAAAATGAGGAAGAAAAAGTAGAAATTCAGTAAGACAGAAAATCAATTTTCCTTACAAAATCCTAGATATGTAATTTGGCACCTTTGTTCTGGCCAGGAGGCATCTTTGCATACAAACAAAAATATTCAAAGAGAAATTCTTACCTTCGTAACTGAGCATTCTCACTTCTTAATGGTTGCACGGCCAGTGCTATCTCAACTTGAATATCTGTGTTTCCACTTACTGCTGGAAGTACAGATATACATGCCTCCATTTCTGTAACCAACCTCTGAATTTCTGAATCCTCTATAAAAGGCAAAAGAAATGAGTAAAATCAATAATATAAATATTTTTGGATAAGATTATTAGTATATATTACGAAAAAAGAAAATATTTATCGATATGTACATACTTGTTATAAATTCAGCTCAATTATTTATAAATTTATTATACAGGCTCCACTTTTCTCTCTCATGCTGCTATTTGCTTCCTCAGAAAAATTCTAAAGAAATTAAGTTCAGTAAACTAAAGATTAAATCACAGGATTATCACATAAGAGGTTTTTTGTTTTTTTTTTTAATTTTTTTAAGTTCAAAAGTCAAGTAGGAATGTGATTAACACAAATCTCTTAGTCCATACTTACCAAGGACCACAGTGGATACCTATAATTGCTATAGGGTTTCCTATAACTCATTATAGTATTAACATTTATAATACAACCTTTGATCCTGGCATAAGCAAACAATTTACATTAGGGGATTAATTTGGCAAAGTATTGACTGGGGTCTGCTAGGATAGTTTCATTATTTAATTTTCTAAAGTTGATTGCACACAAGCAGCCACATCTCATTTGATGTGACATCAAAAGGTTGTTACTAATTGTGGAGAGTGGATGTTTTTGGAGGTTGCAAACAGACACAGGCATGGAAGGTAGGTATTGGTTCTTCTGTCTTTTATCCTTTTCCCTTCATTCCCATTCATATTCTATGGGCTGAAAATATTTAAAATTATTTATTAATTATCTGATATCTAAGAGGTTGAAAGTATTTTCTAAGTTACAAAAAGGCATTCAGTTTCACAGATATTTTAACATCCTGATGAAAAGGACATACGCATAGTAAACAACTGTGTCCAATTATCAAGCAGTCTTCTTCTACCAATCTTTTTTTTTTTTTTTTTTTGAGATGGAGTCTCGCTCTGTCACCCAGGCTGTGCAGTGAGGCAATCTCAGCTCACTGCAACCTCTGCCTCCTAGGTTCAAGTGATTCTCCTGCCTCAGCCTCCTGAGTAGCTGGGATTACAGGCACCTGCCATCATGCCCGGCTAACTTTTGTATTTTTGTAGAGTTGGAGTTTCACCATGTTGGCCAGGCTAGTCTTAAACTCCTAACCTCAGGTGATCTTCCTGTCTTGGTCTCTCAAAATTCTGGGATTACAGGCATGAGCCACTGCACTCGGCCTTCTACCAATCTTTTGTAGAGCAGTTTCACTCACAGGCTTTGGAGTTTGGGACCTGGACTCCACCACTTTCTGGAGATACAACCTTGGTCAAAGTACTTATTTTTTTTAAAACAAATTAATCTTTTTTGTAAAAATTTATCCATTTAAATTGACAAAGAAAAAATTTATGTATTTATCATGTACAATATGTTGTTCTGAAATATCTATATGTTGCAATGGTTAAATGGAGCTAATTAACACATTACCTCACATATTTATCATTTTTATAATAAAAACACTTAAAATCTACTCTCTGCAATTTTTAAGAATACAGTATTGTTATTAACTATAGTTATAATGTTATATAGTAGATCTCTTTAACTTATTCCTCCTACCTAATTGAAAGTTTGTATCCTTTGGCCAACGTCTCAATACTTAACTCTTGAAACCTGGGTTTCTTCATGGTTAAATGGAGATAAAAACAGTACTTCACAGGGTTGTTGAGAAGATTAAATCAGATACTGTTTCTCCAGGTCTCAGTTTCCTCATCAGTAAAATGGTAGTGGTAATAGTACCACATAGGGTTGCTGGGAGGATTAAATGAGATAATGCATATAAAACACTTAGCACAGTGCTGAGCACATGGTAAGTGTTCAATAAATGATAGCCAATGGAATTATTATTATTACCATGATTATGTATCTGATTGTGAAAATGGTAGTAAGTTGAAGGTCTGAAAACACAGCAATTTTAATACACTATGTCTTTGGCTTAATGGTGCTACATTCATATAGCATTTTAAGATTTTTCTTTTTTTGGTCAGTCTGCAAATGTTAGGTATTCAATCAATGCTTCTACAATCAATTACTGTGTTTTCCAAGATGACAAATCTATAAATCATTCCAAGCAAAAGCCATTACAACAGAATACACATACATAATAAAAACAAATGAATATAATCTGACTCAAAGACATTTTTCTTGATTTAGGAAAAAAAGTTCTAAAAATAAACTGAAAAGGGCATAAGAAGGTGTCGGTTATCAAAGTGAGACTTGTTAAACAACCTAAGAGTTGGCTATTTAAAAAATGACAGGCAGGCATTCTTTGCATCTTTTTAAAACAGGAAAAATAATCAGTCTACTCAGGGAGTTAATCATCTTCAGGGGTTCTCTAATCTAATTAAAAGTTTTATCTGCACAAATTCTCTTTGGTTGAATCTTTTCAAGCTCTATTATCAAGAAGAATAAATATTCACTTGCAAGTAAAAGACTGAATGTTTGATATTCTCTAACATTTTAAGTCCACAGGACAAAAAATATCAAAACCTAAAAAATAAAAATACAATAAGCAGAACTGATTTTCTTATTAGTTCAAAACACAGTTCTGCCGGGCGCGGTGGCTCAAGCCTGTAATCCCAGCACTTTGGGAGGCCGAGGCGGGTGGATCACGAGGTCGAGAGATCGAGACCATCCTGGTCAACATGGTGAAACCCCGTCTCTACTAAAGATACAAAAAATTAGCTGGGCATGGTGGCACGTGCCTGTAATCCCAGCTACTCAGGAGGCTGAGGCAGGAGAATTGCCTAAACCCAGGAGACGGAGGTTGCGGTGAGCCGAGATCGCGCCATTGCACTCCAGCCTGGGTAACAAGAGCGAAACTCCATCTCAAAAAAAAAAAAAAACCACAGTTCTATGGAAAATACTACAAATTCCATTTAAATGATAGCTAAATAATGTGACACTGGTATTTAGTATAACACCATACTACAGAAAATTGTAAGTCTCATCTACCTTTTTCTGCTACAAGGGCCTTGAGCTCTCCCAGCAAATATTTTATAATTCTAACTCTTTCAGCTAACTCGTTCACATTTTTTGCCTTCTGTACATCCTTGACTGTTTTTGTATCTTGCATACATAGGTTTAAATCCTTTCTTTCACTTCTGGCCTCTCTAATTTGCTCTCTGGCACAGTTTTCTTCATTAGTGGCCAGGAAAGCTGGTTGTGATTGAGTAGGGCTTCGGTGTGTCTGACCATCCAGATGTGTTTCCTTTCCATGAGATCGAAAAGGAGACATACATGTTTGAAAACATTTGAGTAGGTCTGTTTCCTTATGAACTCCTTGTTGTGGCGGAATCCCATTAACAAGGCGCAGTTGCTGCAATGTTGGAATAGCTGATACGTCAGTTTTGGGCAGGCTACATGGAACTTCAGGGCTGGTATTAAATGAATTCCGTAGAACATCAGTGCAAGTCGCAGAAACTGTTTTACCTTGTGATGCAAACTGACTGTCACCAACAGTTTCAACTTCCTAAAGAAAAAGGAAAGCAAGTCTTCAGAAGTATGAGCAGTCACTTATAGGTACTAATTATAACAAACTCAAATATATAAAATATATTTATTAAAACATTAATATATTTGCTTTGTGAATATTTAATAGTTACTACTATATTTTGTGGGTGTACCATAGTCTGTGCAACCATACTCCTATATGGTTACACATTTAAGTAACAGCCAGTTTTTCACTGCTGAAATATTTCTGCAAATATGCTTGTGCAAAAGCTTTTTGTATGTTTGAACTTATTTTCTTATGATGTAATTTCCCAAAGTGGACTAACTTTTGATGCTTTTAAACCATCTGTGGTATTTGTAAACAGTCTATTTTAGTCATGGCCTTGTAATGCTCCCATCTTACAGGGTAAACTAAGCTTCAAAAACCAAAAATCTTTATTGTACTGAGGAAAAATCCAACTTCCTTTAAACTAAAAATATTAGTAAGTTTCTAATATTAGAAACTTGCATACTAATAATATTATAACAAACTCAAATATATGGTTACACTCCCAACCATATAGCAGTTACAAAGACTATGATATATCCACAAAATACAGTAGTAACAAGTTATTAAAAATTCACAAAGGGTATATATTAATAAACATCTTTTAAATAAAGCATTAAGCGAAAGAATCAGTATAGAAAACTGCATAAAGTTTACTTATAACTTTATTTTAGAAGGAAACCAAACTTAACAAATACAAACCAGAAACTAAAACCCGTACAGAGGATTAAACGACTGGAAAGAACTCCATCAGTGTGTTCACCGCAGTTGTACTTGGGTGGTCAGTATGGTTGGTTTTGCTTTCCCCCTACTGATCTCTTCCCCTTTTTCTCCTTCATTACTGTCATTAATAAATAAGTAAAACTACAAAATGGTAAAAAATAAACAACTGGTCTTTAAATCCTAGTGCATTAAGTTACAATCAATAAATTCGACAGTCCTTCCTAAATGACTGCTATAAGCAAATAGTTACTTATGTAGTATACAAACTGTACGCACAGAATGAACCTTTGGAGGGCAGGGTGGCCGCCGAGTTGCCTGAGATTCTATAAGTAAGAGGGAGAAAAAATTAATCACATATCCTACTTTTTATACAATAACCAAGTAATTTAATTAGAACTTACATTCATGACTTTTTTTTTTGAAACGGAGTTTCACTCTTGTTACCCAGGCTGGAGTGCAATGGCGCGATCTCGGCTCACCCCAACCTCCGCCTCCTGGGTTCAAGCAATTCTCCTGCCTCAGCCTCCTGAGTAGCTGGGATTACAGGCGTATGCCACCATGCCCAGCTAATTTTTGTATTTTTAGTAGAGACGGGGTTTCACCATGTTGACCAGGATGGTCTCGATCTCTTGACCTCTTGATCCACCCATCTCGGCCTCTCGAAGTGCTGGGATTATAGGTGTGAGCCACCGCACCCAGCCCATTCATGACTTTTAAACAGTATTCATACTAACCAGAATGAGACACAGCATGGCATGGTACAGCAGGTATTCCAGTAGGGATGTTCTTTGAAGTCAAGTCATTCATCAGTGACATCTGAGTCTGCACATGCTCACAGAGGGCTTGGTATATTATGGGTGAATACATTCTATAATGATCTTGCAATGACCAATTTTGTTCTAGGTCTGATGTGTCTCTTTCACTTCTAGCAGGAGCTTCATTATGTATCTGTTTCTTATTATCTGAAGATGCTAATGTGGAAGGAAAAAAAAAGTTCTTGAAACATGATTCTTCAAAAATGCTTACCGTAAGATTTTAAGAGAAGAAAGGGTGCTCAGAAGTAGTTTAATTCATCACATACTTCATAGAAGGGCTTTACCACTGTCACCCTCACTATAGAAAATCACCTCAAATTCTTTCTGAAAGTAATTAGTGTTTAGGTTTCTCCAGTCAAAAATCATCTATACTAATTTTTTAGTCCCACTTTTTTATGCTACTGGCCATCTGTAAAATCCCTCCAATTTTAACACTTCTTTTAAGGGTGTTATGTTATCCGTAAAGTCCAATCAAACTCCAATCAAACTCCTTCACCTTGTTCCTTGTCAGTTCATGTTCTCAAGCGAAAACAGAATAGGAAAGAAAATAGTTTGGACAATTCTGATGCTTTGGGCCCTCAAAAACAAAACAAAACCAACCAACCAAACAAAATCTTAACCTGGCATTTAAAGTTTTCCAAAGCTTGACCATAACCTACTTTTCCAACTATTGTCCCATCGCCCCCAACTCAAATTGTTCATTTCAGCCAGGCCAATTTAGTTACCCAGCAAGCTCTTCTTACCTTTCAATAACATTGTTCATGATGAACCATTCCTCCCAATCCAACTCTACACACTCACCAAGGCTCATCTGAAAGTTTTCTTTTTCCATGAAGCCTTTCCCAATCCAATCATTCTAGGCTAGTGACTACTCTTCCCCACCCCAGAGCACATATTGTCTATATGAATCATATGCCACTGACACATTGCCTTATTATTACTTATCTTTCACCCTCCTGTCTTTCTGACTAAACTGTAAGTTTCTTTAAGCAGGGCTGTATTTCTTTTATCTTACGGAGTCTAGTATTAGTCTATGCACAGGGTAGAAATCTGGTATTAACAAAGTAACAAGTAAAAAACAACAAAGTTTTGTACATAGCACTACCTGTAGATTGGTATAACAATCTAAGTTCTATTTCTCTAATTAGATCCCCTTCCCAAATGTTTTTTAAAACACTACTAACAGAAATGAGAATATTCTAGTAAATCATAGGTTATCAGTATACAAAATAAATTTGGAAAATTTACTGCTACTGGCAGCACCTACCAAAGCTAAACATACATATATTCTATGACATAACAATTTCACTCCCAGGTATACACCTAACAGAAATGAGTGCTTATGTCTACTAAAAGACATGTACAACAATGTTCACAGCAGCTTGATTTGCGGTAGCCAAAAGCTGAAAACACCAAACAGCCATGAACAGTAGAAACAGATAAACTGTGGTATATGCACAGCCTGGAATACTACACAGCATTAAAAAAAGAACAAAGTACTGATGTATACAACTACCTGGATGTTTAATAGACAAAAGCCTGAGTGAAACTATTCAAAACAAGAATGCAGTGTTCAACTGCATTTATAGGAAGTTCTCAAACAGGTAAAAGTCACAAACGGAAAGAGAAGTCAGGAAAGTGGTTACACATGCTGAGGGTCTAAGTGATGGTAAGGGTACTGACGGGGAGGGAGCCTTGTAGGGTGCTAAAAATTTTCTGTATCTTAATCTAGGTGGCATCTATAGGGGTGTATACATATGCAAAAATTTATTGAGATTTATGTACTCTAAAATTACTTATGAAAAGTATTTCTTAATTTTTTAAAAAATAAAATAATTAAAAATTTAAAAGTAGAGAATCTCTCAAATATATAAATATATATAGTTTACTGAAAATGAAAATACTGCTAAAAGCATACAACTTCCATGTAAAAGCAAAAACAGAAAAAGTTAAAGGCAGATTAAATACTAATAACCAGTGAAAATAGAAAAAAAAATTAAAAAGACAAGATTTGACTATGAAAATGGCTGAAGATATCAGATGCTTCCCTTTTGACTTGGGGTATGTTTCCTTTTGAGATGACCTTTTCCTATGAAAGTACTTGCTAGACCTATATGCAAGCTTTAACACTTATTAGCTGAGTAACCTTGGGCAAATTAACTTCTCTTGACCTCCTCTTCCTCATCAGAAAAACTGATAATAAAACTGATATGCAACTCTGTCTCATAAAAAAAAAAAGAGAGAAAGACAGAATTGGCTAGTTTGAAGATATCTGTTTTCACACACAGGTCACAGCATCGGGATCTCATTTACTTTCTTTTCAAGGCGTGGTTTTGGCAGTCTTTAATAAAGCTGAGCTATATTATGCCTCAGCCAGTAGATGTCATTGTCCAACATAAATTAATAAACTCCAGACCTATTTCTTAAACATCAAAGCCTCAGGGCTAAAATGACATATTTCACTCCTTTATAAACTGAGTCCATACAAAACTCTACTGATAATGTTGAGTTAACTTAATGATGTAAAGTCTTAAAGCAAACAATCCAAGTTAAATACCATAAATGGATATAAGATTAAGACTGTAGTTTTATTACTATTACACGATTTTAAAATAAAACAATGACCAAATGAGCCTGTTACTACACAAATACAAATGAAGCATATTTACTTGCTCTTTTTAATTACACGAACGCACTCTACGTGAAAATTTTAGCTATTGGTCTGGCAATATGTTTAAGTAATGTCAGGTGATAACTAGAATTCATGAAAGGAATGTATTTATTTACTCAGTCCACAAAACTTTCAGTCCCTAAAGTCTAGCTGCTGTGCAAGCACTGGCTATTGCTTGAATGGACAAGCACCGTCTGACAGGAAGTAATTCCCATCACTCGAATATAGAACAAACACCTAGAGCAGGTAAGAGCCACTGGATGCCTACTATAACTGGCCTTATGCGGGGCAATCAATGCTCAAAGGATTCTGCCCGTGGTTGATTTATTTCCCCAAGATGAAGATGGAAATATATATATGTTACTAAAAGCAAAATCATGAAAGTATTCAATGCAGTTATCATATATAAAAGTTGCTTATTAAAAAAAAATTTTTTTAATGCCAAAGCACTCTCAAATAAACTCAGTACATTTCTGGAAAGGCCTCTCTGCCTCCTTACTTCCAGAATGCATCATGGTGTGCATACCTGACTCCATAGGCATCCAATGATCAGACAGGTCCCAGATAGAAAACACATGGGGTGGGGGGGCATTCCTCAGAAGACAGTTAACACAAAATATCAAGATAATGTGTGTTAAAAGTAAAATAATACATGGATACTAGTTAACATGCTGTAATAGATTCCTTAAATTTCTTTACAGTTACCTCACTTGGAGAGAGATGGTAAAGAGAACAAGCGATGAGCTTGGATTTTATAAGCATTGTAGTAACGGAGCAAAATCTTGTATTATTGCTTAACAGCTGCCAACCACACACACACACACGTTTGTTTCTAGAAAGTGCTACAATTTGGTAAATTAAAAAAACAGAGCAGTAGAATTAAACAGTTAGAGGTTTCTAATGAGTTAAACTTAGGAACACTTAGAAATTAGGAACTAATAATTTCTAATATTGCAACCCTAAGGAAGACTGTCCTATGGAAGTAGGTCCTTCCTTCTGATTATGAAAATATGGGAGAAAGAACAGTAAGAATACTGCACCCTGATCACAAGCCAGAACTGCCAGTTCAGCTGTAATCCAAATAAGAATTTAATGCTATGGACCCAGAATGCCAGAATCTTCCATCTGCCAATCCAAATCCACCTCTACTGGTCTTCACCTTGCTCTCCTGGAATGCTGATCTATGTGGATTGTGAAGAGACAGTCCTTCATGGGTCACTCCTCCTCCTATGTCTTGCTGTGTATATCAAAAAAGCAAGGCTTTGACCTAAGCTCTTTACCTGGGCCACTTCTCAGGGCTGTGTTTGCAGTGAGCAGCCTTGAGGGATAAGGTAATATTTCCCTCTGAGGCAAGCACAGGCTTAATTACTGCTTACTATCAAAGTGGCAGATTCCCCAAGCTTAGTGTTCCTCAGCTGCAACCTACACCTAAAGGATGTGCAGCATCCATTTGGATCCACCGAATCGCTCCACTAGGAATTAGGGTGAATGAGAACCAACACAAATATGCTGATGCACATACTGCTTCCTATGCTGTGAGTAATAAAGTCCTTTGTCTCTGACCAGCAGTTTTGTGTCTTCTGCTAGAATCCATGATACAGTGAAACTAACTTACTAGCTTGTCAAATCCCAGACCTGATACACATCAGTAGGGCTTCAATCCAATGGGAGTCTTGGCATATGAAGAAAAGGAAGAAGCATGAAGTCAGGATATACACTTACCCTGCTCCCTTTCTATGACGTCACCTTGGGCTGATTTTGTCCTTTCAATGAAGCTCACTGCTCTTCTCAAGGTAGCATATTCTATAAGCAATACCTCTTTCTAGGTCTAGTAACTCTAATCCCTTATGGCCTAGAGATGATAACAGCTCTGCTGCTGCTGCTGCTAGCACTGGACTAGCGAGACCTAGCAGGCAAAACCTGTGGTTTTCCCATGCCCTACTCATACCTTTACAATGAGTCCCTTCGTAAATAAAATAAATCCTCCTCGAATTACCTCAATTTGAGTGTTGCCATCTGTTTCCTGTTGGAACTCTGACAGAAGCAGTTAAGTCAGGATCCAACAAGTTGCTACCATGACACCCACTCTCAGCCACATTATCTCAAATAATAGTTCCTTGAGGAAAGGTGCCCTGCATGAGAAATAACCTGCCTACAGACAAAAAATAGGAGCCTGGAGGCACAGGTGCTATCGCTCCTTTCCTTCTCAACTGGGCCCCAGTAAAAAGGCCTCTACTTGAAGAGTTAAGACGAGGGTTTAGTACTCTTTTTCTTGAGGTCAAATAAATATTTTAGGCTTAGCAGGCCAGATGATCTCTGTCACAACTACTCAACACTGCCACTGCAGTACAAAAACAGCTAATAAAAACACAATCAATTAGCTTGGCTGCATTCTAATAAAATCTTATTTACAAAATAAAATAACTAAACATTACTTATAAAACTGGCTGTAGTGTGCTGAGCTGACTTAGACCAATGTTGTCCAATAGGAATATAATACCATATATGTAACTTAAAATTTCTAGTAACCACATAAAAGAAGAGGTAAAATTACTTTTCATATTTAAGTCAATATATCAAAAATACTAACATCTCAGTGTATAATATAAATAACTGAATTTTTTTGTACTTAATCTTCTAAATCTAGCATGTATTTTACACAAAGCACCATCTAGATGCTAAATTATCATCAGAAATATTTGGTCTATATTTAGATTTAATAAAATTTACACTTGAAAAGATAGGCTCACATGCCCAAGTTATTCCAAACATAATTAAAAGTTTTATAATACCTGGATCAATTTTCAGTTTTAGAATTTCATTTTAAATTAATTTAAATTAAATAACATTAAAAATTCAATTCCTTGGTCATACTAGTCATATTTCAGGTGCTGAATAGCCACATGTGGCCACAGCTACCATCTTGAATAGTGCAGGTCAAGACCATATAAGGCTAATGTTACTGACCTCCAAGATGAGTTAGGTTTCCCCTGCCTTAGTTCTCTACCTTGGGACTATCTGAAACATCAACCTCTAGTCTCATGAAAGCTCTACTCTTTCTCAGCCTCCTTGCTTGGATCCTGATCTCTCAATATACAGGATTACCACCTTAGATGACTTTCTAAACTTCATTCCTTGCCCAAGCTGAATCTAAGCTTGCACTACAGTGCTGACATTTCTGGCCCACCTGAACTATAGAAGTGGCTAGTCTAATTCTCATCCATCTGAATTCTCATTGTGGACTTTTTCATCTTCATTTTAGGCGATCTTGTTCTCTATGCTTCCAAGGGACAACAAAGTCAAAACTTTCTTGTTCTAAACCAGGAAAAGTTAGCTGTCAGGGTGTAAAGTACCCTTGGCTATACTCACCATCAATGAGAAGGAGGCTCTTTCCTTATTGATCCAATTATACCTTCTTATGCACCATGTATCCTAACTGTGTAACTTGAGATCAGCTTGACCAACTTAGGAGATATATATATATAAAATAATTTTAAAGCAGCAACTATAAGTATACACCTGAAATACAGCCAATTTGTGATTATCTATGAAAACAAGTGGCAGGGGAAACTAGCTCTATATATCTCCCAAAAGTCATTCTGAGTTTGAACTTTTTCTCCTATAAAACCCAGTCTTTTTTTATAGAACTACTCAGCAATTAGAAGCTGAATAAAGAAAGACAGGCATAAGCACACATAAACCTAACCAATCCTGATTATTAAAATGAACTGCATAATCCTGATAACTGATCAAAATACCCACAATTAAGGATTATCTTTAAATAAGAGAAAAAAAGGCTTACATGTTTCTTTCCGGACTACGAAAGGAACAGTATGTTTTTCATGTCTTTTCTTTTTAGATCCATATTTTCTGCTTTCTAAAGGTCTAGAATTAGATCTGTTTTCTAAATATGCTGATTCTAAACCTATTAATAAAACAAAACTTTGTTAATATCAAAATAATGACTTAATTGAGAAAAGGTATTCAGCAAAGAAGCATTTAAAAAAAAAAAACCTGAATCTTCATTTCTCAAAATGCTCCTCAGCAAAGAAGCGCAACCATCAAGCCCATGAGCAGTTTCAGCCTGCAAGGAATAAAGTCATTCAGAATACACTGTGTGTAACTGTTAGTACAGGAAAAATACACTTTATGTACTTTTAAATTTCTTTATTTACAAGCAATTTATTATTGGTAGAAAAGATGTTTTAAAGCAACAGACTTCATACTTCCTTACAGCAATTAATATTTTCATTTTATTCCTACTTTTTAGCTTCTATCTGAAAACTAATTAGTGTGTTTTATATCTATTCAATCTTACCTGACTTTCTGAATCAGAATGGATGGAATAGCCAGAATCTGCCTTAAAATGCGATATTTTTCTTAAATGGGTCCTGGAAAATAAGCTCATTAATATTCTTATATTTTTTTCCCAAAAGACATTAGTCATTTTGTTCCCAGCAAAGATTAGACAAGAAAGCTTGACTCACCGGGTACAAGATGAATTTATAAGCACATTCTCAAGATTAGAAAGACTGTTAGATACTAGAATGATTAACACAGGTAGATACGAAAAGCTGTTCCCCAGAGCGTGTGATGCTAGAGGCCTACCTAATTTTCTGGGGTAGACAACATGTCATCCAGCCCAAAGACCTGAAAAATGTCTTGAAATCTGAAGTTGTAAATATCTTTAAGTACTTACCTTTTCTTTCCATTTGTTAATTTAGCAGGTCCAGTGTGCCTTCCTGAAGATAACACCTATGACATATTGTAGCAGATAAACATTTTTCTATTATATTTTCAATATGTTATCTTGACAAAATGTAAGATGACATTTTTTCTTTTATTCTTCTTCTCAAACTAAAACTCTGTACCCATCAAACAATACCTTCCCATCCCCTCTTCCCCCTCACCCTAGCAATTACCATCCTAGTGTCTATGAATCTGACTACTCTAGAAACTTTATATAACTGGAATAATACAGTATTTGTCCTTTTGTGACTGGCTTATTTCACTTAGCATAATGTCTTCAAGCTTCATCTATACTGAAGCAAGTGTTAAAATTTTTCTTCGTTTTTGAGGCCAAATAATATTCCATTGTATGTATGTACCATATTATTCACTGTTTTAATTAATGTGATATATCCTAAAAATCCACAATTATAATTTAATTCATGTATTAAATTTCTTTTATGTAAAATGTCAAGCAAACAACACATATATTTGTTACTTAAGTCTATTTAAGATGAAAAGGAAATTGAGAAACTATTTTAAACCAGAGGTATCTACTACACTAAGTTCAGACTCCATTAATCCCTAAACATGTTCTATATTCCCAAATTCTTTGAAACATACAAGTTAACTCAAGATACAGAACAGAGTTATTAACTCTGTTTCTTTTTATGTACATTATTTAGAATGCCTGATAAGACCAGCAAATGAAAACTCTAACCTTTCTCTTTATCTACATCTCATTGTCTTAATCTTTCTTTTGAAACTCATATAGCACTGTTGCTTTCTTAAATTTTTTTTTTGTTTTATTTTATTTTATTTTTATTTTTTTTTTTTTTGAGACGGAGTTTCACTCTTGTTACCCAGGCTGGAGTGCAATGGCGCGATCTCGGCTCACCGCAACCTCCGCCTCCTGGGTTCAGGCAATTCTCCTGCCTCAGCCTCCTGAGTAGCTGGGATCACAGGCACACGCCACCATGCCCAGCTAATTTTTTGTATTTTTAGTAGAGACGGGGTTTCACCATGTTGACCAGGACGGTCTCGATCTCTTGACCTCGTGATCCACCCACCTCGGCCTCCCAAAGTGCTGGGATTACAGGCTGAGCCACCGCGCCCGGCCAGTTTTAAAAGTGACATAATGGACAACATTTTGTGTAGAAAAACAGGAAAAAATAGGCATTTGCTTTTACATGCACCCAGTATCTTGACAGTTATGCCAAAAACAGTTAATCACGGTTGCCTCTGGGGAGAGAAACCGAGTATCTGGGGGACAGAGCAAGAAAGGACACTTTCCATGGCATACTATTTTATATCTTAATAACTTTACATCAGATAATCACTATTCAAAATAATTTTAAATCAACATGAGTTGAAGTCCCTGACTCCCGCCTCGTTCCACCCTCCAGATATAGTCACTGTTGGCAGTTTCATTTATAATTTCTCTTGACATATTTACATATTTCATTTCAAGACTGCTTTGGGCAGTAACTACCAAATTTTCTAAAGTTACATGGCATTCTACCATATGCATGAATGTGTGTTCCATCCTTCTAAGAATGTAACTGAGAATACATTTTTTTAAAAACTGGGTTGGTAAGAGTTACACTTCTAGGGCTAATTTAGAATATGATGGAGGAAATGAAGCCAGCAGTGAGAATCAACAATGTAGGAAATAAGACATTGTGAAACATCACTCCACTGGTCTCTGCATCACACTCTCAGGGTCTTTCCCTTTGGTATATCTATGTCGATGTCCTGGTTGGAATCATAATAAAAACTCCAAGCCATACTATAATACCATACCCTGGATCAAGTCCAAAACCAACTACCAAAATTATTCTCTCAAATTTGTTTTTCTTTTTTTTTTTTTTTAAGTACACTGTCTGAGGTACATGTCTGGCATAACTGTAAGATATATATGGTGTTTCTCCAAAAAATATACACAAGACTATCTTATTTTTTTAATAAAAAAATTGTATTTTATCAAATGAAAACATTTTTCTTTGTAAGACAACACTATGAAAATTAAAAAGCAAGCCACAAAGTAGGAGGAAATATTTGTAATACGTAGATCTGACAAAGGACTTTATTCAGAATACATAAAGATATATCACAACTCAATAATGAGACAAGCTACTTAATAAATGAGGAAAACATCTGAAAAGACACAAGGCTATCTTACAGAAAATCTGGTAAAGAAAGTTATCCACGATAAAAGCACCCTGAAACAGTAACTATCATATTGGAACAATTCCTTTCCATTTTTTTTTTTTTTTGGTAGTTTCTACTACGAAATAAGAGCACAAAGAAGTCCTATATATGCTTCACTCAGATTCTATGACCTTTGACATTTTCCATATTCTCTGTGGGGAGATTATATATACAGTATTACTTTTTGCCTGAACCATTAAAGTTGCAGATATAATACTCCTTTACTCCTAAATATTTCCTAAAAACAAGGCCACTCTCTAATATAACCACAGTATAATTATCAAAACCAGGAAATTAACTTTGATACAGAATTATGATCTAATGTTCAGACCTTATTTGCATGTTGTCAATTATCCTAATATTGTCCATTACAAAAAAAAAAAAAAAAATCCCTCTGGTTCACGCCCAATCCAGGATCACATATTGCACTAAACTGTTACAGCTCTTTAGCTTCCTTTAATCTATAACAGTTCCTCAGGCTGTCATTCATTGTCGGTTATAACCTTGACATATTTAAAGAGTCTAGGCCAGTTATTTTACACATCCGTCTGCACATTTAGATTTGCCTGATGCTTACCCATGATTACACGCAGGTCATGCATTTTTGGCAGGAATCCACAAAAGAGATTATGTTCTTCTCAACAGAGACATGTCAGTTTGTCCCATTATTCATGATGTAAACTTTGATGACCTAAGATGGTGTCTGCCAGGTTTTTTATTGTAAAGTTTCTACTCTTACCTTAGTAATTGATAGCATTTTGTGAAGAGATACTTTGAGATTATGTTGATATACCAATCACCAAACTTTCACCCCATAGTTTTAACATTCATTGATGATTCTTGGCTGAATCAATTGTTTGACAAATGGCGACTTTCTAACTATGTAATCCTTCTACATTTATTAGTTGGCATTCAACTTTAGGAAAGCACCTTTTCCTTCTTCCTTGTTAGTGGGGACTCACTGATTCCTATTTTCTTCAGTAGGTTATGATCCATTATTATCACTTTATTTTGATGTTCAAATTGTGTCAAATTTGGTTGCTGGGAGTCCCCTGAATTTGATTCCTGTATCACTTTAACATGCCCCCAACACTTTTTGAGCTATTGCTTACTTTCTACGACAAGGTGCTCCCAGTTCATCTTTTTAAAATTGTCATCAGGGTATTTAAAATGAGGGCTACGAGGATTTAAACAGAAACACGTCTAGAGACCAAGCGGCTGTATTAACGGGAAGCTCAGGTGTTCCCTGCACCTGTGTCCCAGCATTTTAATGTCGCCGCACGGTCTTTGTGTCTTTTCCAGCAGAATTTTACAAGTCCCTGGCTCGAAAACCCCCCTGTCCCTCTCCATCCCCACAGCGGACTCCTCAGGTCCTCAGCCCTCACCTGGCCGGGTCGAGACCCAGACCTGACCATCTCTCGCAGCCTCAGAGAAGCCCAGATCGAGGGAAGCGAAGCCTCACGGTAGAAAGAATTAACCGCCTTGGGCTCCCGAACCTTCTTGGCCCGCCCCCCGAGCTTCCGCTTCCGGAAAGGATCCCGCCGAGCGCCGCGCTTCCTAGTCTCGGACGCTGCTCCACGGCCTTTCTCCTGCTCCCGGACCCGCGCCTTGGGCGTGCGCAATAGATCCCTCCCGGCTTCCCGGCTCGTCACCCGCCGGCAGAGGGTGAGAGAAGCCAATAGACGGCGAACGGGGCGGGGCCGAGGCACGGCTGGGGCGGGGCCGGGGCGGGGCCGCCGGGAAAAGGCTTGGGCGGGCGCTTCTAGGGCTTGCGGCGGGGGAAACCGGGAGGAGGACCCGCGGGCGTCGGAGGAGGGGGCAGGGGTGGGAGGCGGATGGGTTTCAGAAGGAATTGCGCGCGACTTTTTGGCTTTTCGCTCCTTATGTTTAGTTTGGCATCTTGTGTGCCCTTTTGGATGATTTTGTTCTTGATATTTATGAAAATAAGACCTCCGGGTTATCTTTCCGTAAGTATGATGGCAATTTCAGAATTGTTCCCTGTGGCCACTGACCTCAGAACGGTGTCGTTAGTTGAGATTTTGGGTTTACCTCCATGCGTACGTGTCTCCTCTTGCCATGAGGCAGTTACTTTTGATGAAAAATGACACAGCATTCCTAGCATTGCATGCTGCACTCATTTTAATGGAGATTTTCGTCATTGGCTTTTAAGGCATTAGGTTTGGGTTAATGATTTAAATCAAGTTGAAGAGAGATAACTCAGTTGATTCCATTTAAACTGTTGTCCAGGCTGGAGTGCAGTGGCACGACCTCGGCTCACTGCAGCCTCCGCCTCCCAGGTTTCAGCGATTCTCCTGCCTCACCCTCCCGAGGAGCTGGGATTACAGGTTTGCGCCACCACGCGCAGCTAATATTTGCATTTTTAGCGGAGTTTCACCATGTTGGCCAGGCTGGTCTCCAACTCCTGACCTCAGGTAATCCGCCCACCATGGCCTCCCAATATTCGGGGATTACAGGAGTAAGCCACCATGCCTGGCCTCATTTCGTTTTAATGGAGAAAAGAGCTACCCTTTAAAAGTCTCTTACAATTAATGTCAAAACCCAGGAACTAAAGTATGTCCACCAATATGTCACACACTTATCCTGAGTGATTTTAGGAAACTTGAGTATTTCGCAGATTTAGTTTTGAATTAGATCAAACTGTGAAAACTTCTCCTTTCCTTCCCCAGCCCTCTCATAACTTCGTAACTTTCCAACATATTCACCCAAAATTAAGGGCTTTCGATTAAGTTGATTTTTTAAATTTCGTATTGATTTTTCCTAATACATAGGTGTTTTAGAAAATACGGATAAGCAAAAAGGAAAAGACCTCATTACCCCTGAGTTATCACTCTGAACAGCTTGATGCGTTCCCTTCAAGATTTTTTCCACCTATGTATATATGTATAAATGTATTACAATGATATGAAATAATGGGTATTACTGTAACATTAGTGTTTTAATATCTAATCAACACTGTTTCTCATTAATCTACAATTATATTATGGCTGGCTGGTGTTCCATAATTCATTTCCCTAGTGTTGGGAATGCTATGCCCCCACCCTCTTTTTCATTTTGTATTTGCTATTATAAATTATGTTGCACTGAGCTGAGATCTGCAAATTAACTGGATAGAGAGTGGAGAGCAGAGTATTCTAAAGATGTGGAGACAGCATGATGCTGAGAATGAGAAACCCAAAGAGGCTCTTGCTGCTGACGTATAGACAGGGGGGATGGAAATGTATGTAGGGGCCGGACTATGCAGTCCTCACAGGCTACATGATTTGTGTTGTTATCCTAAGCCCATTGGAAATATGTAAAAGTTCAAGTAGGGGGCTCTGTGAACTGACTGGTGTTTTACAAAGATCCATGGCTGTGGTGTACAGCAGGAATCCAAAATCTATGGTCCCTGGCTAAATTCTGTCTGCCATTCTTTGATACAGCCTGAGAACACTTTTTACATTTTCAAGTAGTTTTTTTAAGTCAAAAGAATAATATTTTCTGATGTGAAAAATTACATGAAAATCATCTCAATGCTATAAAGTTTTATTGGAACACAGTCACACTGTTTGCACATTATCTATGTTACAACTGCTAAAGTTGAGTATTTGTGACAGAGACCGTCTAGCCTGCCAAGGCTAACTATATACTATCTGGGCCTTTACAGAAAACGTTTGCTGATCCCTTGCATAGAGGGTGCTTGGGGGAAAGGCACGCATGGGTGTGAACATGTTCTCTCCTCCTGCATCCATTTACTGCCCTTCTCTGTGCCCCAGGGACTGACATGACTCAGACATGCCCTCCAGCTTCAGGTTCTGTTTAGTCAATAGAAGAGGGAGAGAATGGGATACTTCTATCTCAGCACATTTGGCTGATCCATTGGCCCCCTACATACTTGGGGGAGCCCCTGGAGTTCCAGTTCTCTCACACTCTAATAAAACGTCCTTCCCTTTGTCCCTTCAGTCTTAGGGGTGATAATGGTTTGCTAGTCCTTGGGTGCCTCAACCCCCTTGTTGTTTTCCTTGTCCATTCTGTAAACCTTTTAATTATATTCAAATTTTATATTGTCTTCTGTTTCCTGTGAGGACCAGACTGATAGGAAGTCCAGATGAAATATATTGGTAGCTGGGAAGGGATGAGGGGATCTAAGGGAGGTGGTGGTGAGGGAATATGAAGAGAACGTATTTGAGAGATGCATAGGAGGTAAAATGGAGAGGACTTGCTGTCAGAGTTGGAAACTAAGGCAAAGGGGAGGTATTTGTTGACCCTGGTTTTTGGGTTTTGTATCTTGGCGGGTGGTGGGGGAGATCCACATTTAGGAAGGAAGCTTGTGAACTCATTTCTCTCCAACATTTCAGTTTGAAAAAAATGCAAACCAGGAAAGTCATTTTTGGATGTTAAATTAGGGAGTACTTTGGAGTCATCCAAGAAAAGTTAGCTACTGGATAGTTGAGTCTGGAGCTTGGCAAAGACGTGTGGGCTGCAGTACATCTTTCTGAGTTGTCTGTGGCTTCAGAAGTTGCTCTATGTTACTTCCTCAGGAAAACCTCTCTATCCTGCCCCTGCAAACTAGCTGGGTGCTCCATACTACTATGTAGTAGCATCATTTCTCATAGTTACAAACTTGTGATTAGTTATGTAATGTCTGTCTTGCTAAGTAGAATTTAATCTCTATGAAAGCAGGGACCTCACCTTGTTCAGAGCAGTGTCCCCAGTGCCTAGCCCAATCCCTTGCACATGGTAGGAATTTCTTAATTATTTGTTGAATAAATCAGTGAATCAACCATTGTTTAAACTGCTTTGGTGCATCAGGGCTGACAGCTACTTGAATGTCTGAAACTCAGGATTATCCAGGACTAGCCCTTTGAGCCTAGTCTGGAGATTTAGTCCCTCTAGTAACATGGATACACAACTCTGCTTATCTATCCAGTCTTTCATAATTCAGCACGTTGGACCAATGACTTTGCCAATTGACTCACCTCTGAAGTGTGAAGGTCTCTCTATTCAGGTTTGACCATGTTCCAGTTTATAGGAAATGACCAAAGTTGAAAGTATATGAAGATCTAAACTAAAAACACAGATTTATGGCCAGGATCTAAGATTCAAAAAGTAAGAGGCTATGGATAAGAAGCCACATGTTGTGGGCATGAACTCAGTTCTGCTTGGAAAGATCTGAGGGCGTGTGCTGCTGCCTTTCCCCAAGCCACTTAGTGCTCTTTGGGGCTATTTTGAACCTAGAGATTCTTGGCCTTTTGAGATAATATACAACTTTGAGAAATTGCTGAAAGCTTTGTAATTTTTTCTTCAGAAAAATGCTAATGAGCACATTTTGGAAACATAGTTATATATATGTTATCAGAGGCGTTCAGGAGCCTCTCCATGGATTGCAGGTTAAGATTCCTATTTTAACCTAATTTGAAACCAGCCTTCCACACTGGGGTGTCCAGCTACTTCTGTTGCAGGGCGCTGGTGATCCTGGAAGTTGTCAATTAACGAGGGATGGTAGGTCCCTGGTGAAAGAGCATCAAGGAGACGAAGGGCATGGAGCATAGACAAAATGGAATTGAGACATAATCTTTGCATTTCCCACTGAAGCTTATGTATCTGCAGTGTTCACTTTAATCAAAATAGCTTAATTTAGCAAAGAAAGAGCCCACTGTGTTTGCTTTATAAAATCCTGATTTTATTGCTTCCTGAAAATTTTTTTAAAGGAGAAATACAAACCATGTGTTACAAGGGCCTTCATTTGACAGTTTAACTGGGGTCACTCTAGGACTCTATGGATATTGCTGATTATGATAGGAAAGCCAGTGGGATGGGTCTGACAAGGATCTGTTGGCAGCAAGGATCAAGAGACCCCCTTTGGAATGATCTTGTCACAAGGAAGAAATGTTTGGGGACAATGTGCCATGTTTGTGGGTCAGGTGTAAATTTTAATACAGCACAATGACAGTCATTTATTGCCCTACAGACCCTGAAGACTTGTGCCTGACCCAAAGAGAAACATTAATAGCGATTAAAATGTTAAAACTTTGTTTTATTAAAATATCTGTAAGGCAGTGTAGCAGATGTGGGTGGCTTCTTATTGTGAACATCTATGTCTTCCTGCCTGAGAGCTTTTTTTCTGGAGCAAAAGGAGCAAGCTGAGGCAAGCTGGAAAGGCAGAACATTAATGCCCCTGGAAGAAGCCCTCAGTCAGTGACAGGTGGGGATTATCCAGTGATCGATGATTAGCTTCCTCACCCCTTTGATTACGATAACTCTGAGATGTGTTCTGTGTTGCCTTCCAGAGTTCCTCAGCAGTATTGGGATACGGGGGTAACTTGCTGGATAACACACCATTTATTGGCTTTCTTCCCATCACTATGTCTTATTCTTCCTATCCATGTTCAACTGTTCCTGATATCGCCTTCTAAATAAACTATTTGCATGTAATTCTCTGTCCCAGGGATTATTTTAGGTGGGGGGAGGTGAGGGGGTTGGAGGAATCCATATCTAGACAGGCACTGAGGATATATACAAGGCATCATAGGTTTGGATTCAGATTCTTTCAGATCTGGATTCAGATTCTTTCTCACCAGTGACTCTGAACAACTTAATTTATCTAAGATTGTTTCTTAGAGATGACACTGACTTCATAATGGAGACAATGACTTCATAAGGTCATATTGTAAGGAACAATTTGAGAATGTATATAAAGCACTGTACCCAGTGCCTTACACATGGTAAGTGCTTAATAAATGTGGGCCGTTATCATTAATACAGTGTTTGTAATATGGTTAATACAACATAACCCAGAGGGCAAAGCACAAAGCTGTTTTCCATCCTTGGCATGACTGCAGGTTGATTTGGCAGGTGTGCTATAAATAAGCCGTCCCTGGTGAGCAGCTGTGGCATAGCAATATCAATAGCTTGGAGCAAGCATTGCCAGGGCAGGAGAGGAGGAAGATGGTGCACACCAAAGTGGTGGCTTAAAAGAAGAGCAATTGGCATTGCAACAATGGTATTGCCAATTGTGCTTAGTCTTGATAAGCACAGATAGCTGCAGCACCAATAGCTTCATGTCTTGTGTCCAGTATACAGTTTGTTGGAATTGTATTAGCCTCACTTTTGAGTGATTGTGTTCAAGGCTACCAGGACTTAGTTTCTAATTTCAACCTGTTTTCCCAAATGTACAAAGGACTCTTTTGCTTTTGTTACATTTATGAACCTAATTTGTTATTTTAAGGTCTTTCAAATTGGACTGTCCCTTCTGTCCCCCTTCATTCCCTATTTGCAGACAAGACAATATGTCAGTTCTTTAGCCACAGTGAAAGAGAAACTGAGAGACACCAAGAATCCGAGGCAGGTTAAAGGATTTCACTCATTCTCTAATCCTGATTAATTACAGTGCCAGGTTTCACCTGTAGTGCTTCAGCCTTCTCAAACAGCCTCAGGTTCCAGAGCAAATAGAAATGATGGGCCACTTTGGCTAGGAAGGTAGACAGCCAGTAGGATTAGTTATTGCCCATCCCCTGCAGGTGCAGCCCAGCGCTGTGGGGGAAGAGTTTGTTTCACTCCCTTTTATTGTTTCACTATAGTCAGAAATCGAGGACCATGGTAACATCCAATCACAATCTCCGCTTACCTTTAGACACTAATAAACAAATTTCTCCTCAATTGATATAGAGACATATATGCATATAACATAACATGATTTTTTAAGCAAAAGCAACTTTTAAGAGGGGACAGTATTACAAATAGAAGGAACTGACTCCGGACAGTTCTTGGCATACCTGACATTAAGAACCATAATCACAGCCTATTAATCTCATCTGTTTCCTTTGAGGAAAGAAAATCTTTAAGACATTGTCAGAAGGTCTTAGGCTCATGTAGGGGATTTTCTCCGGTGGGTTCCATGACATCTGTATATGGTTTCAGAAAAGTCCATTGACACTGACACTTTCTGGAATACTGTTAGTTCTTCTCAAAGCCATTTGCATGAAAGTGATTTATGTTCATGTCTTGTCTTAGCATTAGACTGTGAGCTCCCTGAAGGCAGAATTCAGATATTATTTATTTCTATGTGCTAAGAAGCCTGCAGAGTTCCTGGAATATTGCCAGGTTTAGCAAAAAACAAAACATGTTTGTTGTGTGTCTGAAATTCAAATTTAACTGAATGTCCTGTATTTTTTCTGGCAAGCCTATTCTTGGCAGATAGCTAACCTCAATAAACATTGATGAGTGAGAGGATGAATGAATGACTAGCACAGTACCAACAAATGGAGAAATAAACTGGTAAAAAACTTCAATTGGCCACATAAAGGACACTCATCGAAATGATGCCTAACAATCACAGAACATCACACTGTGTCTGGTTAACATCCTACCTTTTAAAGTCTGACTGTCTGGCTTTGATTGGAGATGCATTTTCTATCCATGCTTTGTCAGCCACTTTTACTCAGTGTCCATGTGGGAGGAATACTAATCTCCTGGTAATGAAGGAGTTTTGTTCCAACAATTTCACATCTTAATTCCGTACATTTCTGATTTCATGTTTGTTTAATTGTTTATTCATGTGTACCAGTTACACAAGAAAATTGATTTTGGAGGGTATATGTGTTTCAGTCATTCTGAAGTACAATCATCTCTGTATCTTCCTTTAAAATTGTCAAAATTGTGCTCTTACTCCAGCCGAACCCTAGGGTTTTGGGTAAAGTCATTCACTGTGATGATACCATCAGGACCAATTCTGTTTGGAAAAAGGTTTATCTGCAGTTAGTTCATTGACAGTTAACCTTACGAAAGACAATATACAAACAACTCTCTCATTTCAAATTCTACTGTTGATCCTTTTTCTCTTAACTTTGTTTTTCTCTGAGTCAGGCTCTGGCTCTGTTGTCCAGGCTGGAGTAAGTGGTGCAATCTTGGCTCACTGCAACCTCCACCTCCTGGGCTCAAGCCATCCTCCCAATTAAATGGTACAGGCACACCCAGCTAATTTTTGTATTTTTAGTAAAGATGGGGTTTCACCATATTGCTCAGGCTGGTCTTGAACTCCTGAGCTCAAGCCATCCACCCAACCTAGAATTACACGTGTGAGCCACCATGCCCGGCCTCTTTTTCTCTTAACCCTGACTGCCTGCTCCTCCACCTGTTCCTCCTCCTCCACTTTTGTTCGACTGGTCATAGCTAAGAGTGAGTCAGAGTTACTAGGGGTGCTTATAAAGACGCAGATTCCTAGACCCCACCCCTAGAGTTTATGATTCCATATATCCAGGGTGTAGCCTGCGATTCTGCATTTCTTTTTTTTTTTTTTTTTTTTTTTTTTTGAGACGGAGTTTCGCTCTTGTTACCCAGGCTGGAGTGCAATGGCGCGATCTCGGCTCACCGCACCCTCCGCCTCCTGGGTTCAGGCAATTCCCCTGCCTCAGCCTCCTGAGTAGCTGGGATTACAGGCACGTGCCACCATGCCCAGCTAATTTTTTGTATTTTTAGTAGAGACGGGGTTTCACCATGTTGACCACGTTGGTCTCGATCTCTTGACCTCGTGATCCACCCGCCTCGGCCTCCCAAAGTGCTGGGATTACAGGCTTGAGCCACCGCGCCCGGCAGATTCTGCATTTCTAACATATTCTCGGGTGCTGCTGCTGTCACTACTGCTAGTCTCAGCAGCACTCAAATAATTATTGTCCTATATAATTCTTTTCTTCCTTCTTCTCCTTCCCTTTCCCCTTTTCTTTCAGATCCATGTTTCATGTTCCTCACAATTCTTTTCTGTTCCCAGAGCAGTATACTATAATAATCTCACTCTATCTTGGCCCACTAGATTTGTTTTCCCAGTATTCTTTTGCCTCCACTTGGTAAAAGTTCACTTACATTTCCTGTTCAATGTAGCTTAGCATCCTGCTAACGTGTGATGCAGAGATCTCCCCATCCACTTCGGCAATATACATGTAAAGAAATTGGAACGTGCTGAAAGGTATCCGGGGCGGCTCATGGTCACATGATAAGACCTCACACACTATCTTGAGAGTTTTGGTAATGGTCTATAAAAGTTAGATAAAATGAGGAGAAAGTTATTCTTCCAGGCAATATTCCTGAGATCTGCTTAGATACAAGAAAGAAAACAAAAATATTGCTCTTATAAAATGAGGTGAGAATGATTTAAGATTCTAGAAAGCTTGAAATTTTTATAATCAAATGTCATTAATTCATTCTAAAAAATATTAAATATTGGGTATCTTTATTTTTTTCTCTCTTTTCTTTGTTGGAAGACTACTCAAGGAATTAAATTTATAAATTCCTAAGTGCTTTAAGATATTTGTTACTTTAGTCCGAATAACCTCTCTAAAGGAGGGAAGTTGATTTGCATTCTATATAATTAGAATTATTTCTTATTCCCTCCAATCTTATTTCTAAAGGGCTGAGATAAATAGACTAGCCTATATACTCCAAGAAGATACTTCTGGCAATGCCACAGTAGAGGAGAAGAAGGTAAGAAAGAGTAGGGTAATTTCCCCAGGAAGATAGAGTCCCAGGAAGATACTAGAAAAATAGTCTTGAACATCAGGATAAATGTTCTTCTAAAACATACGGGTCAATCTAAATAGAATCACCTAGTGCTTTATTTTATATTACATAATACTAACCATTTTATTGCTGGGGGAATATTGGTAGACAGTGAGTGCAAGGAATTTTAATGGAAGGGTTACTACAGAAGCAACCCCTCCTTACAATAAACCTTGAACATTAAAGGATCATGCTCAGAACTAATCTCATATCTTTAAATAAACCCAACCCTGGAATAAATTTTACAAGTGAAAGAGTTGTTTGGGCCGGGCGCGGTGGCTCAAGCCTGTAATCCCAGCACTTTGGGAGGCCGAGGCGGGTGGATCACGAGGTCGAGAGATCAAGACCATCCTGGTCAACATGGTGAAACCCTGTCTCTACTAAAAATACAAAAAATTAGCTGGGCATGGTGGCATGTGCCTGTAATCCCAGCTACTCAGGAGGCTGAGGCAGGAGAATTGCCTGAACCCAGGAGGCGGAGGTTGCGGTGAGCCGAGATCGCGCCATTGCACTCCAGCCTGGGTAACAAGAGCGAAACTCCGTCTCAAAAAAAAAAAAAAAAAAAAAAGAGTTGTGAAATGAAGGTCAGCATATAGATCTTGGTGGTTTACTGAAACTGAAGATGTACAGATCATCCTGACACATTCTTCCAGGGATCAGTGAAAGAGCAGCCCTGAGTGGTGACTCAGGTGTGACTGGGTGAATGAAAAAGCAGCTGCTGTATCTTCCCACATGAGTTGTTTAAGCCACAAAGTCATGGCAGCCTTAATAAACTAACATAGGTGCTTTCCCAACCCTAAACATCATCTGTTATTGATTATTCAAACAACAAACCTTCAAATTCTATTTATCTCATAAGATTTTTAAATATTTTTAAAGATTTAATAAATGGATGAGTGGATAAATCACTCTTTAGAATGGAGCTATGTAGTAAACTGACATATATCTAAAATAAACACATCTTCATTCTCTTGCACAATATTGTTTTGGGATCAACTTCACAGAGGTAGTCTTTAAGCATCTTGCGAGCTTCATTTTCAGTCACAAGTGAAAGCCTTGAAATGTGAATCATTTGCTAGCAAAATATATCATTCCTTCCAGTGAACATGATTACTTGCTATATATGTGATCTCTTCCTTTTTAATCAGTTCAGTGGAATAGGAGGTGGCATAGACCAGTCCAGAGGAAGGAGTGCTGAAGGGAAGAGGAATACGGGTCTGCCTGCCATTGCATTCTGAATAATGTCTATTAGACCCAGAGAGTTCAAGTTGGAGTAAATGTGCCTATTACCTGTCAGAGTAAAAATTCCTGCCACTAGACTCTTCTACAAGGAACAAACTGGCTTTTCTTTTTTTTTTTTTTTTTTTTTTTTTTGAGATGGAGTTTCGCTCTTGTTACCCAGGCTGGAGTGCAATGGCGCGATCTCGGCTCACCGCAACCTCCGCCTCCTGGGTTCAGGCAATTCTCCTGTCTCAGCCTCCTGAGTAGCTGGGATTACAGGCATGTGCCACCATGCCCAGCTAATTTTTTTGTATCTTTAGTAGAGACGGGGTTTCACCATGTTGACCAGGATGGTCTCGATCTCTCGACCTTGTGATCCACCCGCCTCGGCCTCCCAAAGTGCTGGGATTACAGGCTTGAGCCACCGTGCCCGGCCTTACAAACTGGCTTTTCTAGGTGGCATAAAGATCCTGTCTTGCTGTTGAATTGGCAAAGGAAAGAGAAATTCTGGGTTTGCCTCTAAGAATATATGAATTGACTAGGAGGCAAGGTCTCCACCAGATGGTGACCCCGACTTAGTCTCAGCTATAACAAAATACCTTAGACTGGGTAATGTATAAACAACAGAGATTTATTGCTCACAGTTTTGGAGTCTGGGAAGTCCAGGACCAAGGTGCCAGCAGATTTGCTGCCTAGTGAGGGCCTGTTCCTCATGAATGATGCTTTCTATGTGTCCTCACTTGGTGGAGGGGGGAACTTTTATAAAGGCACTAATCCCATTCATGCGGCTCCACCCTCATGACCTAATCAACTCCCAGAGGCCCTACTTTTAAGGCCATCACCTTGGAAGTTGAGATTTCAACATATGAATTTTAGGGGGGGCACAAACATTCAGACCATACCACTTACCAACCCCAGATTTAAGGTCCCAGAAACAGTCCAATGTGATGCAAATGAATATAATGATTACTGGTTTCATAGGGCACCCTTTATTTACAGACATAACTTTACTTTACTTCTGGGGGTTCTTTTTTTTGGATGGAGTTTTGCTCTTGTTGCCCAGGCGGGAGTACAATGGCATGATCTTGGCTCACTGCAACCTCTGCCTCCTGGGTTCAAGTGATTCTCCTGCCTCAACCTCCCGAGTACCTGGGATTACAGGCATGTACTACCATGCTTGGCCAATTTTTTGTGTTTTTAGTAGAGATGGAGTTTCTCCATGTTGGTCAGGCTGGTCTCGAATTCCCGACCTCAAGTGATCAACCCCCCTCGACCTCCCAAAGTACGGGGAATACAGGCATGAGCCACTGTGCCTGGCCACTTCTGGGGGTTCTTTGACATGGGGATGATGAGGAGCAAAGTCAGGTATCTCATGGCCTCTTGGAATTGGAAGAGCTCACTGTTATTCAGAGGTAGGCCTGAGGGTATCTCAGAGGAAGCAGAGAAGCAGGGATAGAATCACAGAATGTCAGAGGTAGAAGAACCTCATGTAACATTTAATCCCACCTCCCTGTTTTAGAAGAAAAGTAAAAAGATACAATTCACCTCATGGTTTCCCCTCTTCAGTCTGGGAGACAGGTACATCAGAGGAAACCTAGCATCTACACAGTGGGCTAAGCAGAGGGAGGGTTGGAAATTGACTTTCCAAAGTCACTCTTTGTTACTGTGAGGTATGAGGATAAGGGAAGGACTCAGACACATCACTAACTGGTGAGGGCTGTGAAATAACCACCAGAGCCAGGGAGCAGATAGGTGAGCCTGGCAGAGACTCAAGGAGGCCCTGAACACCACTGAGAACTGAAATGAGCCAGTGAGGGAGGCATTGTCAGGTTTTCACCAATCTGACAGATATGAGACCAAAAACTTAAGCTGCAAGCAGCCAGTGGCCAGACAGATGGGCATTGCCATGGAGACCAGAGATGCCAGAGAAGACTGAGGATGTGGGAAACCCTTCACTTGACTGCTCTGTGGTCCTAGAGTCACCTCTCTCTGTCTACATTCAGCTGCCATCTTGGAGAAGAGAGCACAGTGAAGAAAAACCTGAGACACTGGGAAATTTACCTTTAGGCTGTTTCAGTTACTGCATTAGACTAAAGTTTCAGGACTGGACTGAATTTATTTATTTTCTTATTTGACCTTTTGTGGGTGAGGTAGACCAAGAAGATCAGAATTAAGTACAGATAAAATTTTAAAGGTACATTTCCCCCAAAACATCTCCAAATGTGATGTGAAAAAATCTGTACCCTATGAGAATTTAATAAAATATGTCCACTTTTTTATCTTCCCGTTTGTGATTTTCCCCAGTCCTGATTGAAAAGTCATAGGCCTCTGCTGCTTGCTTTCCTTTCCTCCTTGGTGGATAGTGATTTATTCAGTATATAAATGCTATAAAGGACAATGAAGAAAAAAAAGAACCACGAATGTCCTCTTGTTATTCCTCTCTAAAGAAATGATTATGATGAAGGCTGTAGGGGAATCTATAGGAAAAGTTGGGCTACAAGATTTCTGCTAAATTTTCTCAGAAACAAACTGTCAAATATGCAATCCAAGCATATTTGAGAAGAACAAGATGATGTTTAGAAATGCTGAATGATTCGAACTACCTTTTCATACCATTTGGCTTTGGCAGAGATAATTATTTTCTCAATAATTTTTAAACTTGTATGTATCTCAGGGATTCTTTTACAAAAGCATGTTTTTTATTCATTTTGTTATTTTAACAATGTCTAACAATGTAAGTCCACATCTAAGATACCCAAGCTTTAAACATCTATACATATAAACTGATTTCAGCATATTTTGCTTCAAAACAGTAAAATGGTTTTTCCAATATCAAACAAGTCAAATTTGGAAGAGGCGTGAATCTGTATGAACATCCTGCATCCATGGAGATGTCATGACTAAATTTAGAAATAGTCTCATCTCTCCTGTTTTTGCTTCCTTATGTCTGAGTTTTGCATCCAATTCTGTTTATTACACAGTAGCTTTCTATAAGATTGTACCCCTTTTAAAAAGTGTCTATTAATATATATTCTAGGTGTCTGGAAGTCTTTTTCTACAGATGGCTCTTGGTTGTCTCTGGGAATATGAATGGAGGGAGTGGAGTTAAAATACATCTGAGGGCAAAAAGTATAAAAAATTTTAAAAAACAAACAAAAAGATAAAGAAAAAAAAAAGAAAAAAGACACCTGAGGGCAATATTCATAAATAATCCAAAAGTTACACTGTAGTCAGTCCTCCCCAGAGTCTGACAATAGTGTTTCCCTCTCTCTCTCCTCCTAAACCCTGCTTCTGCCTGACGAGCACTGAAATGACCTTGATTTAAAGAGAAGGACAAGATGAGAAGAGGCATGTTTATCATCAGCTCTGGAGAGTAGACCGTGTGTACAGATGCACTGCCCTTCCAGGCCCAGAGGGAGCTTTCCCCTTCAGGAACAAAAAACAGTCAAGCTAACTTACAACTCCCAGAGCGCTAGAAGCGAGGGCTAAAAACTTCAGCCACTCGATCTCCTCTGTGAAGTGACCCACGTTCATCACACTATTAAACAGATCTGTTGGGATCTTCAACACCTTCCACATCTGGGCCAGCTCATCTGCACGGATGATCAGTCTGCCAGCAACCTGCAGGGCAGGGGACAGACACAACACAGAGGATGTGGGAGAAGTTGAGGCAAGACCCTGGGGAACACCCTGCCCCCAGGCCAGGTCCACATCTCCCAACACAGGGCAAGGGGCAGGAAGGGGGTGTTAGGAAGGTACAAGATGGCTCTGTGTGGCAGTAAACTTTGCAAATCCTAGTGCTGAAATATAATTTATTAATTCTTAAACTTTAGGTGTTAGAATTATGCAAAAGTTATACATTTATATATTTTAATTTCTTGTGGTTTTATCTGCTATTGTATTCCTAAATTGTTTTATTCCTTATATGACAGATAGAACAGCCTGAAAACAAAACCAAGGGTTAGAGTGCTTACCTGAGACCACTAATTAATGGTAAAACCAGGACAAGACATAGGTCTCTTTCTTCCCAATTGCACTGAGTTCTTAGCTCTAGAACTCAAGTACATCCCTCATGTTTTCCCAGGAATGATATGAGGTATGTGGCTGACCCACGGGAATCTGGTCTGGATGCCTTTTGTTGCTTGATCCCAGGTACTTGAGCTCTGTCATTTTCACTGCGCAAGGTACTTGGTGGATAAAGGGAGGGAGGGTGAGTGGTTGCTGACCACCAATGCAATAAGGGCACAGATGCCCGATGATGTGCTCCAACACCTTTCCTGACCCTCTGATTCTAGTGAAATGCTAAGCCTCTGGGACCAAGGCAGTTAGCCAAGCTAGTCCCAAATCACCCCAAACCTCTCTGTCCTGGATCATAAAGCAGGGTATGGTGATGCTCAACCATATTTCCTGGGAATTGGCCAAACCGCAAACTTTCTCAAGCTAGACCCTCCTCATGCATCCATTCAACAGGCAGCCCCGAGGATGATGTGGCTGTGAAGAGGCTCACAGCCTCTCCCTAAAAGCTAAAAACTATGTCTGGACCTGGGACAGCTGGGGAGCTAAAATATGCCCTTCCCCAAACTGTGACTGGCATCATATTTTGGTTTTGATCACAAAGGGAGACACTGCTGAGTGACTGACGACCTACACTTTTCTGGAGAGATGGGATTAGCTTTGCATTGAGTCCCTGTACATTCTGCCAGCTTCAACAAATCTGGGATGACCCCATCAACGACTCAGCCTACAGCGTATTTCAAAATTATTCCTATTTCCCTAATTACTTTCAGTCCATGGTTTAGTGTATTTTAGGGTGGTACTAAGTGGTCAGCTGACTGTCAGAAGAACAGTGGGCTTTTGTCTGTACCCACCCAGCCTCAACACTGTCCCTACATTCCCTCAATGCTGCAGCAGGGCCCTTACCTGAGAATGCAGGGTCTTTAACAGCTCAGGTGTTAATTCTGCCCAGTTACACAAACCGACTTGCTCAGACTGCTCTCTCACCGGAGAACTCTCTCCACGGCACACGGCCTCAAAATAACTACAAGAAAAAAAGTCAGAGTGTAGGAGGAGCACCCTGTATGCCAGTGGCTTCTGGCTGTTCTAGCAATCCTTCCCCCTTTTTTTGAGGGAAGGAGGTAGAGAAGAGAACCCTTGTTAAGTGGTTTCTGTGAGTCAGTGTGTTTAGTTCATTTACATCTGGGAGAAGCCTGAATATGTTACTTTCCACTTAGAGCATAGAGAATGCTTTGAGAATATAAAGCTTTGTTCTTCTCTAAGGATGAGGAAGAACTAAACGTTTGGGTATGCGATTCCTGGGGCATATTGGGGTCAAGTTTTTTTTTCCCCCCAGTCATTTCTGAGTGTTTTGTAACATACAAATAGATAATATATTACATATGTATATGTAATCTTGGGAAGAGAACTTGGAAGAGAACTAAAGTAATACACATAAGAAAGGGGAAGACAGCACAGAAATTGTGGCAAGGGCCTGTAATCCAGTGACTCTGGAGCCTGAGGCTGGAGGACCACTTGAGCCCAGGAGTTTGAGGCTGCAGCAAACTAATTGTGCCACTACACTCGAGCCTGGGTGACACAGTGAGACCTCCATCTCTGAAGAAACAAAAAAGAAGGGAGGGGAAGAGATGGAAGTGTCCTAGGGGTGAATCAGGAAGAATTTCTGGCTGGAGATGGTGAGACTCAGGGCTTCAAGAGGGAAGGGAGACAGGGTTGGCAGGGCACTGTGCGAGGCTCAGGAGAGAAGACAAGCCAAAGAAGGTTTGAGACAATCTTAAGTTACGTGGGGCCTGTGAAAGAAAACTGTTTTTCTTCCCTCAAAATTTTCAGTCAAATCTGCCTGCTCCTCAATATTTTGTGGAGTGGACTTTGTTTTGGGGCAATGTGGAACAAGTACTGAATTCTGTTTCAGCATTGACATAAGATGAAAAGAGGCTGCCTGCAGCAGGGAACGGACATGAGCCGTTGACATGGGTCACCAGTGCTGTATGGCAGGGTCTGTCTCCATCAAAAGCCTGGTTATTGACGATCCATGAACCACAAATGTTTTGTGTTGTAACACATGCCCACCAGAGGACAAATAAGTACATGTTCTGCCGATGGCTGATCGGAGGTTTCTTCGTTGACAACACATATGTAGGGAAATTCTTATTTGCAATGAATTAAATACATATTTTGTCTTGGAAATACTTTGTAGAGTTTTATTCTCTAAAATGCTACAGGTTTTAAGTAAGTCACATAAAACCATCTGAGAGGTGCTTTTCATGTCTGGATAGAATGGAGGGGCTCTTAGGTCATGATCTCCTTTTTCATTGTGGTTAAACTACAAATGAAGGTTTCATAGATGTCTAAAAAAATGTATAGCACATGATACAATATGCGGGCAAGCAGGCTACAATAGTGGAATGCCTTCTTACATCAATGTCAGGGACAATACTAAGCAATGTCATTTTGTTTACTATAAAACAGCAGCACAAGAACAATGAAATGGATTTGAAACTAATGGATAAGATAAAGTCTATCTATCTGACTATGCCAAAATAAATTAGTCTTCTGATGCTAAAGTTCAATCTTAGAGGCAATAATAAAATTTAGAAAGGAAAACTAAACAGGGCTCATTACTAGGCAAAGCAACCCCCCAGCTATGTTTTTTTATATGAGCACCACTGGCTTGTTTTCCTTCCAATTGCAAAGCTGCATCCTAATCCAGCCCAGGAACACGACAGCACTGGCTCCGAGACTCAGAAAGGCCCCTCTAAGGTGATATTTTGTGTCTTCTCAAAGGTGTCCACACTTTCTCCCTACCATCTGTGCAGTGCACCCACTCACAGCCTCAGGCTGAGGGCATCTTCGCTTCCCCAACTCACTGGCTTTCTCTCAACAGCCTCCCTTACTCTCCGTTTCCCACTGAAACCCTACTAAGCAGGGAATCATCAAACAGTAAAAACAGCCTGAAAATGGTCTGTGAGGTCTAGTGATCTTCCAACTAAGTCCTTGTTCCCCAGTTTCAAGCAAGCAAGTTTGTCTAAGAAGCAGTTTCACAGCTGAGAGGTGCAAAGCTGCTTCAAACCAGGCCTGTAGCAACTGTTGTGTAAGCTCCATCTACTAAGCAACCTTTGGAGGTCCCTCCTGAAAGAAGGCACCCATGTTTGAGGCGCACTGTTTTCAGCCATGCCTGAGGACCTCAAAACTTCTTGGCCTTTCTCCAGAATGCAACGTGTACTGTGTGATGTTGGCAGAACAAATCAGTTTAGAGAAACACTAAATAACAATAATTTCCTCAAAGACAAGATTCAAAGCATCTTTGGTTGGGTCCAAGTATAACAGCAGGGGAAGAAACGTCTCCTCAAAAGGGTGAACTAGCTGGACTGATCCCACCCAATCCACCTAGCGCTGTCGCTTCCCTTCCCAGGCTGCACTGCTGCCATCCAGTGGTGAGAGAATGAAGAAAGGCAGATGAAGCTTTGGAGATTCCAGCCAGTCTTTCCACCGGGACTGGGAAAAGGAGAGCAGGGAGGAGGTGCGTGTGCAGACGCTGGTGTGAAACGGGCATGTAACTCTTGCTGCTTGCCCGAGGACACGGCCTATTGGCCTGGCATCCTACTGCTCAATCTAGCTCGCTTAGAGGAGGCATTCCATCCTCACCCTGTTAGATGTAGTATCTATGGTGGATTTTAAAGCATCAAAGCAATGCAACACCTAAAACCCACAAAGATGATGCCAGTTAGTCCCGACCCTGGCTGCAGCCATGACAACCTCCGCGGTTGTCCAGGACCCTTTCTCCTGGCCGGTCCTCTAAGGGGTGAAGGTGAGAAAGGAGCACCTACTCAACCCCAAACTGGAGGAGGTCCTGCGGCTGCGCCAGGATGGCGGCTCTGGCAAACTTCTTCAGCATTTCTGGCAGCTCCCGCGGGATGCATCTTTGCTCCTCTGTCTGAGCCATTTTCTTTTATTTGGAGAAAAAGAAGGATACCATAATGATTAATTTTAGACTTTGCAAAATATTAGAAAAGTTATAACAGTAATATAACCACTAAATCTGTATAGGAAAAATGGTTTTTTAAAAAACAAACAAAAAACCTTAAAAAGAAGTCAAGAAAGGAGCAGAGAAAACATAGGAAAAGTGGACAGATAACACAGTAGAAAATAATGCATACATATCAGTAATCACAATAAAAATAAACGGGCTTAAATGTGCCAGTTTAAATATACGTATAGGTACGCCTGAAAAAACAAAGACACAGAAAGACTCAAGGTAAAAAGGGTATAAATAAGTAAAAATAACCAAAAAAAGTTAAGGTGACATGCTAATACCAGGCAAAAGACACTTTAAGGCAAAATGCACAATTAGGAATAAAGAGGGTCACTACATCATGATGAAAGCTTTAATTGTTAAGACAATAGCAACAGTTCTCAATGAGTAATGCCACAGACATCCCCGAGGAGGAGTCTCACCATGCAGGTGGAAAAGCAATATATTGTTTATGGTGACATATGTATAATATTACAAAAAAAGAGTAAGGAATGATAAATACAAATTCAGAATGGTGGTTACCCCTGGTGGAGGAGGGAGAGGGATGTCATTAGGGAGATACAAGGGTCTCCGGACTAGTAGTAATGTTCTATGTTTTAAGCTGGATGGTTGCTGTCTAGATGTTTGTTTTATTATGTTTATACTTACATCGTTTAACTAATTTTGTAGGTATGAAATATTTCATAATTGTAAAAGTTACTCTTGTTTCTGATGACTTTTCATCCCATCTTATCTGTCACAGAGCAGTGCTTTATTTGCTCATATTGTCTGCAAATATGTAAATATATATTCTTTGACTGTTAGAAATATATAACATTTCCCATTTTAACTGCTTTAAATGTATAGTTCAGTGGCATTAAGTACATTCACATTGTTGTACAACCGTAACGGCCATCCATCTCCAGACCTTCATCTTCACCAGCTGAAACTCTGTACCCGTTAAGTACTAACTCCCTATTCTGCTTCCCCACAGCTCCTGGCCACCACCATTCTTCTAGCTCTGTGAATTTGACTACTCTATCATATAGAATCATATGGCATACAGTATTTATCCTTTTGTGTGTGATTTATTTCACTTAGCACAATGTCTTCAAGTTTCATTCATGCGATACCATGTGTCAGAATTTCCTTTTTCTTCTGATCCATCATGAGATGTGTTATCTATTGCACCCCTTGTCCTGAGCTGAGAATTTCTTTGTTCTTAAGCTAAATAATATTTTGTTAGATGTACCACATTTTATCCATTCACAGGTCAATGGACATTTGGATCGTTTCCACCTTTTAGCTATTGTGAATAATGCTGCTATGAACATAGGTGTACAAATGTGTTCAAGTCCTTGCTTTAAATCATGTTGGGTATATACACACCCAGAAGTGGAATGGATGGATCACATGGTAATTGTATTTTAAGTTTTTGAGAAACTGCCATACTGTTTTCCACAGTGGCTGCACCATTTTCTGTGTCCATGTATTTTGACAGGATCTTTTAGTTGTTGTGCAATTGTTTAATTTCTCTCCTCGAGTCTCAGATAATCTCATGTAAATGAAAAGATGCCCCAGTCCTAATTAAAGAACCTTCCATGGCAACAATAACAATGTTAACCCTTGGTCATATAACCTTGCTTATGTATCATGCTAGTATTACCTCTTGAAAGCATGAGTTCTGCATGTTTATTATTTAACAAATAAATAGGTACCTCTTTTGACTTAACTTAGCCATGCTCATATTTCAAAGATTTCCCCCATGTTCACCTCATCGTCCACAATTCTAGGGACACGTGGCTCATTTACAGACTGGCATGTAAACTATGTCCCATAAAGTTGCACAACATGATTCCCTGATTTGGAGATCTGGTGTACACACGTGGGGGTCACCTTAGCCCTGTCTTATATAAGTGTATGAAAGTCTTTACTATGAGTGTCATAATACCCTACACCATATTCATCTTTTACTTGTCCTTCCCACTTTTTTTTTCTTTTTTTAATGGAGTTTCTCTCTGTCGCCCAGGCTGGAATGCAATGGTATGATCTTGGCTCACTGCAACCTCCACCTCCTGGGTTCAAGCAATTCTGCCTCAGCCTCCTGAGTATCTGGGACTACAGGTGCATGCTGCCACACCTGGCTAGTTTTCGTATTTTTAGTAGAGATGAGTTTTCATCATGTTTGTCAGGCCGGTTGTCCTTCCTACTTCTGATCTCCTTGTAGCATTCCTGTGATTCAGAGATTCAAAACATACAAACAAGGGCTCTGAGGGGTGAATCCACCATAGCTTCCAATATAAGATTAGGGCTATGTTTCTCTTGAGTTTTCATTACCATTCCTGATGATATTCGACATTGCACTGGCCTTTTCCAAAACAAAACACAGGGCTGCTATCCTTCATAGCTAGTTATGGCATAACATCCAGAGGGCAGATGAAGCTTTAGTGAAGAAGCACTCTTGACTGTGAGGCTGGAGTCCAGGATTTTGGCCTTGGGTGTATTTTTTTTTTTTTTTTTTTTTTTTTTTTTTTTGAGATGGAGTTTCGCTCTTGTTACCCAGGCTGGAGTGCAATGGCACAATCTCGGCTCACTGCAACCTCCGCCTCCTGGGTTCAGGCAATTCTCCTGCCTCAGCCTCCTGAGTAGCTGGGATTACAGGCACGTGCCACCATGCCCAGCTAATTTTTTGCATTTTTTTTAGTAGAGACGGGGTTTCACCATGTTGACCAGGATGGTCTCGATCTCTTGACCTCGTGATCCATCCACCTCGGCCTCCCAAAGTGCTGGGATTACAGGCTTGAGCCACCGTGCCCAGCCGGGTCTATTTTTGACTAATCATTTGATCCTTAGGAAATCATTAATCCAACAAAACCTATGTGTTTTATTGGAATTGTGCTGAATACTGGGATATCTAAATGAATAAGTCACACACTGTGCTTCATGGAGCTCACAGTCTAGTGGAAGAGAGTGACAGAAAAATCAGTACTTCAAATAAGGCATAAGTGTCAAGAAGCCTACACTAGATACAGAAGAACAGAAGAAACTCTTGGAGGTATCTAACATCTGGAGGTAGGAGAAGGAGGTCAGAAAATACTTTTCAGAGAGTGGTGATATCTGAACTGAGACCTGGAAAAACCTAGTTTGTTCATTGCTGTATTCAAGCACACAGAAGAGTGCCAGGTACAGGGTAGGTATTCAATAAGCATATGCTTGCTTATGAGAGTAAGGAGAGAATTCCATGTAGCTAGAAGGACTTAGGCAAAGATGTGTGGTTGTCAGAAACATGACGAGTTCAGGGAACTATAATTACAGAGTTCTAAAGTGGGCAAAGCAGGAGTGGTTGGGCCTAAGGCTAGAAATACAGCTCAAGGCTTGGGCTTTGGAACTTTTTCTTGAAGGCAATGGGGAGCCACTAGAAAATTTAAGCACAAGCGTCACACAGTCAGTGTCAGCTTGAGGTGCCAGTTATCAGTTTTTGCCTCTCAGCTCCAAATTCATCTTGTGTTGCCTCCTCTGCAAAAATTGAACTAGGTCCTTTAACATTTTTCCCTTGCCAGCCCCCATAATGGTAAGCTTTGTTAGTACAGGGCACTGGAAGGACTGGAGGAGGAAGAGGTTTCTCTTGGGTATTCAGGTGTGCTCTTCTTGCGAGGATCCAGGAACGTGTAGTTTCTCCCGTGCTGGGATTCTGTAGCACGCAGCTTTTCCAGCATCTGGTTCATGCAGCGTGTGATCTCCTGAGTACCCAACTGCTGCAGTACACAGTGGCCAACAGTGCCCTGTGGCTAGCAGTGCCTCCAGCACCTCTTGGGAAGCTCTGTAGCGGAGTGCTGCCAGTGAGTCACCTTTGTGTGAGTGGCTTCTCTGGTGTTTCAGAGAGTAAATTTTGTCTGCCTGGCACCTCAGCAATTTCTCTGCTCCCCAGTCAGCTGTGGCCATATCCTCTGCACCAAGCTCTGGGAAAGGTTTCCTCCTTGGGTGATCTTCTTAGGGGGAGGGATTGCTCCTTATATCTGTGATTCCTGTATGTTTTAGATCTCTTCTGACATATTAACCAATCCTTCATTACTCCACCCTCATCATTAACAATCATTTATTTATTTATTTATTTATTTATTTTACCAGGAGAAGCTAGTCTTTCAGGATCAAACAATTCTTTATATTGAGATTGTTTTTTTTTTTTTTTGAGACGGAGTTTCGTTCTTGTTACCCAGGCTGGAGTGCAATGGCGCGATCTCGGCTCACTGCAACCTCCGCCTCCTGGGTTCAGGCAATTCTCCTGCCTCAGCCTCCTGAGTAGCTGGGATTATAGGCACGCGCCACCATGCCCAGCTAATTTTTTGTATTTTTAGTAGAGACGGGGTTTCACCATGTTGACCAGGTTGGTCTCGATCTCTCGACCTCGTGATCCACCCGCCTCGGCCTCCCAAAGTGCTGGGATTACAGGCTTGAGCCACCGCGCCTGGCGAGATTGTTAAAATTACTATATGCTCAAAAATTACTGTATGATTTATTTCTCTTTGTTGAACTCTGAAACATAACGTTGACTGACAGCTGTGTGGATGGACTGAAGAGAGGGTGGTGAAGTTTCAGGCAGGGAGCCAGGTTAGGAGACTATGGAAGCACTTTTGACAACTCTCAGGAGCTTCACTACCTTGAAAAGTAGTTGTCATAGAGAGAGATAAAAGAGACAGGTATTTAGGAGATAGGATCTACAGGATTTGGTAACTATGGAGGGAGGAGGAGGAAGAGAAGGTGGAGGAGGAGAAGAAAAAGAAAGTGGAGGAGAAGGAGGAGGCGGTGAAGGACAGAGGAGTCTAGAGTGACTATCAGTTTTCAAGCTTGGATGACGGGGTGCACGGTAGTGCCACCCGTGTAGAAATGGAAAACATTGAAGGAGGGCTAGGTCAAATTATCCTCCCACATTCCCATTTACTTTCAGGAGTTCCATGCACTTTTGAATCATGAAAAATTGGAATCATAGATTCTCTAAGTTAAAGAGGCACCAAAGCCCAGGTTTTCTGCGTTTGGGCAATATGGGCCACTTGTTCACCTCCAAGAAGTGGGAGAAAGGTCCATTCTAAACATTCCTCAATTCTAACATTTCGTAAAGTTCTTTTCCATTTTTAAATCTCTTGAATAGTAGCCTTCTTCAGTTATACAGAGCTCATCCATACCCCCAACTCTTCCAATTCAATAAATTTCCTCTTAAGTGGAGCCTACATGCTCCCAATGTAAACTGACAGACCAACATACACCTGCCAAGTGCTGAAGAATGCAGGTCTTAAAATAGACTATAGTCTTGTTTCTGGAACCTCTCACTTGGTTTTATTGGTATGGGCTAAACAGGGCTTCTGTTTCATAAATGAAAGTCTCCAGTTACATGAATGAAAGGCTCCAGGCCAGAATTTCAGAGGCAGTTTCTATGAGCAGCACTTGGAACCAAGCAGCAGGCAACTGCACATCCCTGTTTGGGTTTGGGATGCGGTTGCTCTTGTTTGGAATGCATTCTCCCCCTCTTAACAGGTTAATTCTTCCTTTGGAGGTCTGCACAGCCTTCCCTGACCACCCTGTCAGTTCCACTGTACATACCCTATCAGAGCATCACTTACCTATGGTTGGTGTGATTCTTCGAGTAACATGTGCCTCCCCCAGCAAACTCCACGGCAGGAAGGGTCAGTTTTTGCTCACTATACCATCGCGATGTCCAGCCCAGTGCCTGGAACTCAGTGTTCAATAGATACTAGTGAAAATGAACGCGTGATAGCAGTCTGTGAAGTGCTAGCTATGAAATGAATGAGTGGCAGCAGTCTATGAAGTGCTAGGCATGCCCACTGGTCCTCACGACAATTCCCCCAAAGCTATTTCTATATTCGTGTTTCTGATGAATACGCAGAGGTGTGGCTCCTCCGGGAAGGGCTCTGTTTCCAGACTCCTGAGTCTCCCCATCACTGTCCTCCGGTTAAGAAACCGTAGAATAGTATTCTGGGTACAAAATGCGCACACAGTTTGGCCGGAAAGCCATAATCCCCTCCAGTCACATTCCCTTAAAGATCTCCTTGCCTTCCCTCCCCCTGCTCTGTGAACGAGGAGAGGCTCAGAATCCAGGGGCGTCGGGCAGGACCCCTCCCTCCCACCCGCTCGGAGCCCTGCCCTGCCTCCACTTCCCCTCCGGGGTGGCTACCTCAGGCTCGCTCCCAAACCGTCTGTCTGGCTTCAGGCGACACCTGGCGCCTCAAGGGACAGATGTGGGGAGAGATCCAGTGCCGACCACCCTTGGCAGAAGGAGACCAGTAGAAGCTAGGCAGGGAGGGCAACAGCGGCCGGGGGGACGGCAGCGACGGGGTACGACCGCCGGTAGCGTTAGGACCGTTAGCGCTCCGCCTTCTCCTGGCAACCCCCGCGTGGGCTCCGCTGCCAGGTCTCCTGGGGCGCGCCGGGTGTGACGTCACAGAGCCGTCCCGCCCCCTCAGCAGAGCCGCCCCGCCCCCTCAGCAGAGGCGCGTTCCCAGGGTCGTCAGAGAGACGCCCCGCCCCCTCAGCAGAGCCGCCCCGCCCCCTCAACAGAGCCGCTCCGCCCCCTCAGCAGGGGCGCGTTCCCAGGGTAGTCAGAGAGACGCCCCGCCCCCTCAGCACAGGCGCGTTCCCAGCGTCGCGCTAGGGCGCAGCTGGGGAAGCTGAAAGCTGCTTTGGGCTTTGCTGGTGGTGGAAGAACAAGATGGCCTAGAGGGTGAAGGATAGGGCTGGGGGCGTTAGGAAACCCGGGCTGGGGCGTTCGGGGTGGGGCGGAATGTGTAGCCATAGACTCTGCGCTTCTGTAGATGAGAGAGGGGAAGTGGAGCTTAACTTGATCTTTTGGCTTGTGGAAAGTGGACAGGTGAGAAGTCCTCGAGGATCATAGTAACAAAGACTTCTTAAAATGCGTTTTTCGGTGCCAGGAATTGTTCTGATTGCATTACACACAGGAACTCATTTCATCCTTACTGTCACCCCATGAGGCAAGTACTATTATTATCCCCATTTTTACAGATGAAGGAACTGAGCACAGAGAGCTTAAATTTGTCCAAGATGACAGTCAGCAAGTGATAGAGTCAGGATTTGAACCTGGGTTGCGTGGTTCCAGATTCCTCACTCTTGATGGTAATTAGGGGGGAAGTGGGAAGGAACAGAGCCTGAGATACCTCCTGGAACAACAGGGAAAGACAGAAAATATTTACTGGGTAGAATGTGGTCCCTGTGCTAGGGCACTTTTACCAACATGATGAGAAATTCTCACAGTAACTGAAGGTAGGCATTGCCTTCCTTTTAGAAACAAAAAGCAGGCCCAAGGCTTTGAGTAATTTTGCCCGTGATCAAACAGCTGGCAGTAGGGCTCAGGACCCAGCTTGACTCCAGGGCTTCTGATTTTCCAATTTCAAGACTGGGGTGTGTGTGTGTGTGTGTGTTTCTGAGACAGGGTCTCACTCTGTCACTCAGGCTCAACTGCAATGGGGTGATCATGGCTCACTGCAGCCTCAACCTCCCAGGTCTAAGCAATCTTCCCATCTCAACCTCCCAAGTAGCTGAGACTACAGGTGCATGCAACCATGCCAGGCTAATTTCTATATTATATTTTTATAAACGGGTTTTTGCCATGTTGCCCAGACTGGTCTTGAACCCCTGGGCTCAAGTGATCCGCCTGCGTTGGGATTGCAAGTGTGAGTCACTGCACCTGGCCTCGGACTGTTCTTTTTAAGCATCCGAGGAGACAGGAAAAGCTTTCTCTGCTACATCTTTCTCTGCTACAACTCTTGCCACTTCACACCCATTCTAAAGGTGCCCATTGCATCATCTAATCCCTCAGTACGTTTGTACAACAGGCGTCCCCAA